GATCATGTTCACACCACCAATCAGAAGTGCAAAGTCGTGCGATTGTCCGATAGACTGTTCCAGCAGCACGGGAAGATAGTAGATGACAGCATTGCATCCGGAGATCTGTTGGAAAAACTGGGAAGATGATCCTACGATCATCCGGCGGAAATGCTGGGAAGGACCACCGGTGAGCAGATCACGGAACCTAGCCTGGGAAGAACCGGACCTAGACATAAATGTCAGTTTTACTAGCCATCAAACCTCATCATCGAAAACTTACGCTCTGATCGAGTCTAGCGTCAATTGCTTCTCCAACTGAACATGAGGGTCATCAATTTCTGAGCCCGCCAGCGCAGCAAGAACTCGGGTGCCTTCTTCAACCTTGCCGTGGGCGATCAAGTACCGAGGAGAGTCTGGAAGATACATCATACCGACGATGATCAAGATACCGAAGAAGATCTGGAACGCAATAGGGAACCGCCAGACAAGATCAGGCGGGCCGTAGTGGGCACCAAAGTCAATCCAGTAAGCGATGGCTGTTCCAATGGCGATGATACCACCTTCGATACAAATCAAGAGACCTCGGTTGGTCGACTTAGAACACTCGGCTTGATAAGTTGGAATGGTTGAGGTATTCATGCCGTTGCCGATACCAGTAATAACCCGACCGAAAATGAACTGTAGCAGGGGAATATGGCCTGGCATGGCGGTAACTTGGATGATGACACCGATGATCATCACCCATGCGCCTGAGATAACCATGAGACGGCGACCCAGTGTTTCACCGAAGATCAAAGCGAAGATAGCACCAACGAGGCACCCTGTGAGGCAAAGATTAGTCGACTTGACATGGGCTTGAAGGCGATATGATATTTCCTTACCAACTTCGTAGACAGCAGTGACAGTGGCCTGCATGACATTGTCGTTTCTGGTAGCCGTGAACACATTATTGAACGCGGCGTCCGAGATGATACCAGACATTACACCCTCTGAGAGTGATATTGGTTAGTAGCTTGCCCTTGCATGGTTACATACTGGGATCGACAACTTACGATCGTAACCGAAGAGCAGAAACCCCATCGTAGCAATGCCTGATAGAAACAGGGATAGTGGCCGGCCAGACATGCCGGCGTACTTTGGGGGCGCCATGATGCCGAGAGATCAAACCAAACAGCGTTGAGACTGCGCACGAAATCCGGGGAACTGGGGTAGAAAGAGGGGATGGGGAAAGAGGGAAGGGGAAGGTGGAAGAGTGATCGAGAAGAAGGCGACACCGGAGAGGAGACAGACTGGCAGATGTAGCAGACTTAAAAGAATGGAAAACTGCATGCGGCCACCGAAGGTGGAGCGCAAATTGAGCCGTCCCAGAGGGGGGCACACCCACGGGGAAAGATTGGAAGCGTCTTAGCCCTCCACATCTCTGCGGATTCACCCATGGGTATGGACTTTCGACTGACATCACAGGCCAGTGGTGCGAATGGGCAACCGCCAACAGTCCACGACAGGATCTTCGGTGAGCAGCACGATGGTTTCGGGGCAGGTTGCGCGATGATGTGAGGATGATGCATTCCGAAGTGGATGATCGTCGGGAAGCACAGCGAGTGATGCAACTTCATGGCGCCTGATAAACCGGATGGCCCACACAGGGCTCACTAGATCCCCACTTGATGGAGGCAAGGCCCGTGCAAGGGCAGGTTTAGCGTGGGTCTACTGAACAGAATGGGCCTCCCTTGTCCCTGGAAGCGTTTAACCTCTCTGAAGAGTTTTCAGCCATCCACTCACAGACGGAAGGTGGATCTCGGTAGACTGTGATGCAGGCCACGGCCGCGGGTAGGCTTGAACACGGCTGGAGATCGCCACCGGGAACGGTCGCCAATCGACGGCGCCACCGAAGCTTTCCCGACCTCCCGCGGCATTCGGTCCAGTGGTACGGCCAGCGGCCTACCCCATTTTTATTAATGCTTATCTTTATAATCATTCCTAGCGACGGCAGTGGAGATGGTGTGTGGTGGTGGTGTGGTGGTGTGGTGCTGCTGGTCATCGTCGTCGCCGTCGTCTGTGTGGACGAACCGAACCTATCGGCCAAAGCGGAATTCCTCAGCATCACAATACGCTGGTAGAGAAGCATTGGCATGCTGAGCATAACAGGACCGAAGTGTGAGTGGAACCTTCGCCACTTTTTGCACAATGCGCTCGGTGCTGGACCCGAGGGTATTATCCCTTGGGGTCACCATAAAAACAAACTGCACGCTCTTCGTTAGTTCGATTTGCCTTTGGTTTCCCTTTCGAGTCAGTCGCCCAAGTTTTGTGGCCTTACCTCCAACCAGTGGCTCACCCTCACATTCTTATAATTGGTGTCATAGTGCATGCCTTGCGTTCCAGTCGATACGCAATGTAAGTGACAACCTGGAAGTTGCAAGGTAAGATTCAACACAGTCTCCTCTTCGGCAGTCTCTAGTCCATTTGGTATCTCGGGATCCCCGACCAGCTTCGCATGTGCTCCGTCGCCCTTCGTGGCCGATACTGGCCGCTCATCATCAACATTCTCGGCCCGGTGGAGCGACATAGTGGGCCCGGTCATCTCCACTTTTTCATATAATATAACGCGTCGAAAAGGACCCGGACAGCATGCAAGTCCATCCTTTTGGTGATATTGGACGTTCTCCGAGAGAAAAACCTGCAGGCCCCGGAACTCGGCTTTCCTCAGTTCCGTAAGGGATACTGTAACAGGCAGCCGGTCGCCGAGGGGAGCGCCTCGCCTCGAAACGAGGATTCCACATTGAAGCAGCCCTTTCCAAGCCCGCGCAATGTATGCTGGTTCAGCGTCTTCCACATCGTCTTCGGCTGGACAGTGAACTGTAGCGATGGCCTGCTTTTTTGCAAAGCTGCGCCTCAGAAAACCCGGGCACTCGACGCACGCGCGAACCCGGTACTGGACATGGGATTGTCGAATCTCGATTGACTCTGGTAAATGAGAATGTAATACCATCTCGAATTCGTACGTATGGGTTCCAGCGGGTAGACGTTGGTATTTCGATCCTGCTGCCTTCCCCCAGTTTCCGTCCACACATAATGTGGACGGAGCTGCATTCTGCAGCTTGCGCTTATCCTTATGCCATGTGGACTTTCTTCCCTCGGACAGAGCGCTTGAATAGCAGGGAAGCGCGGGATCCGAGGACTGTGGGCTAACCAAGGTCAACGTGCTATCAGTCACGGTTTGAGTGTCATGAAGCCCTGCGAGAGATCGTCATGAATTAGTTTCGAAGACAGATGGTCCTACAAGCAAGACGTTAGCCTCACCATGCGGCCATGTCACACGACTAGTCCCACGAAAGTTCACAGTCAACCTTTTCACCGTCAGATCGTGTTTCAATCTTAACTGGCAGGTACCCCGAAGGACAGCCGGCTTGTTCGTAAACGTAGGCACAAATACCGCTGGTTCTGTGATGTTTAGGTCCAGGCTCAGGTCACTGGAGTCATCATGAGCGTAGAGCTTCCGAGTCGCCTTTTTTGCGATTGAGAAGGACTGTCGAAGCATCTCTAGGAAGGACTAAGACTTCGCGGGTGATCAGCATAAGGGAGTTAATGAGCACTGTTTGGGAAGTAGGGTGACGGGGCAAGGCCATTTATATGGAATCAGGCCTGCAGTAGGGTGGCCATATGACTTAAATCCAGATCATGCTTCGTAAACCGCTAATTACATCAGGGAAGTAATGGGTCTGGGCCACTGCATATTCGTATCAGGTCCCGGGTTGTGTGACAGCAAGGGCTGCTGTCTACTTGTTCTCTCTCCCAATCCAGTTAACAACCTTTTCAGGGATGCCTCGGTGAGAGGAATGCTTCGGAGGGGTAGGCTACCCCTCGAGGTTAAACCGGACTTGAATGATTAACCTTGCAGCCTCACCACGCCCCTCTTTTCTTCACAGTCAAAATGTTGGGTCAAGCTCAAACGATAGTCGTTGGCGGGCGTGGGCACCATTGACGCACATCCAGGCAAGAATGATGTCACAATGTCAAGGCCGGTCACCGGGCGAGAACATGGTAAGAAGGATACCACGGATACCGCTTTTCATGTCCACCAAATGCTACTTGCAAATGCGAGGCATACAGCCATGTTTGAATCTTGGACCATGGCTTGGTGGTTGTTTGTCCACGTGGACAATTTCTTTGTGACCTGGCATTTTCTAGGATCCTAAGCGATCAGGAGACGACGGATCGCTGAGCTGTTCTCAGATTAGCACCAAGTTTCACAGTAGCAATAACAGAGAGATAGTCTAGATGGGATAAGACTGCCGGTTGAGTCGGATACCTATGGGTAATGGGTCAAGCAAACATGCAAAAGCTCGTCGATCATCGCAGTAATACTTTCACCAATTTTGAGCCCCCTTCATCAAGCGAGCATGATGTCAAATATTCATGAATTTTGCTTTTCAATCCTCGAATCGGCTCATTCTAGTTGATTTGATATCGTATGTCAAAGGGGATCATAGATTATCAAGCTAATCCGTCGATGGTGCCATTATCATTGTGGCGTGACCACGAGCCTTTCGGAGATAGATGGCTCGTACAGAGAGATTATATTGTGGCATGTAGATCGGAACCCCACCCAGACAAGAAATTTGAGAATAAGTACATGCCGCTCAAACTGTGCTGCTTTCTGATGATCAGCATGGTTCAGTAGAGGGGCAGTGAGAGTGAGGCGGAGGTGCGGATGGCGGATGGCAATGAAACCAACGAAGTCAGCAACGCTAGATCATGCGCTTGTATTTGTATTTCCTCTCAATATTCTCAAAAAGGCGCAACTAAACATTAGTCATGTAAGTCAACAGTTACTCCCTCTTGTGGCTCGCCTGTTGTAATGGATTATTCTGATACAATGTCTTACACACTTTCTCCCTTTCCCTATTTTAGAACGTAATTGTCCACATTCCCAGTACGCGTACTCAACCTCCAAGAAAGACATCTACTTCATAGCTAATGGATCTCGATACCCCGAAGCTAAGCTCACCTCGAACGCTTCAAATCTCTTTCTCCACTGTGAAGGCTAATTCGAAAATCCCAGTTCTATCTAGAGGACGGAAACCTTTCTCGAAGCAACACATTGCGTTCGTTGGACCGATAGCCTTCATATACACATACTACATATAATCAATTGCAATTCATGGCTACACTAGAGGTCGCCTCTTTACACCTCTTAAGGGTCCTCGGTAACCGACTTCCATAGCCATGGGGGAAGAGCACCATCGCTTGACTGCCGAACCTTGGATGACTCGACAAATGCCTATGCAGGGGATAAGAGCCGAAACTTACTTGCTGATATTGGTATTTTTATTCCACATATCATTGTCGTCTGCATAAACATCGTTTGCCTCTTTCTACTCACTGGCCTGGAATATCTTATGTGTGTTCACCCACTAATCCAATGCACTTCCTCCTGATTCCTTTGTACTGAGAATGTGTTTTTAATGCTCGCAGATACTGTAAAACGGTAACAGGGTTATAGAGAACTGTAGCCATGCCACGTCAGATGGTCCCTGAAGGTAATCTCGCCGTAGACGTAGGCTTCACGATCACTGCAGTGTATAGCTTCAGTTGCGGACCTGCGTCATCATTACAAAGATATAATATACGAAATTGCCAAGCTTTGTCAGGACCAAATATGCGAGGCTCGCAGTTCTCGATATCATATTCAGCTCCCACGGTCGTAAAGAGTTCAATGCCGGTATCTAAGTTGGCCATGGCCAATTGTGGCTCCTTACTGTGGCTCAAACCAGACACATTTTGGAGAATATCCCCGAAGATTCTATAGCTTGATCATATCTGGGCTTGTTTTTCGCGCTCAGTATCTATGAAGTGGCATGATATCCCTATATGATGCCTTTTTTGGATTCCTCGATTAAGCACATATGAGGAACGATATTCCATCGTAGATAAACTCTTTATGATTGACCCATACACACAAGACACACGCTATCTCAGAACCATTCGATAATACTGACAAGAACTACGGGTACTCTGGGAGAAGTCAACACGATTATCTTCTAGCTCCTTCTAACGATGCAACAGTATACGGCTGACAGGCAGGGAATCTGAAGCGAGAGTGAAGACACATATTCTACCTCTTTACAAAGAATCTAGTGGTAGGAAAACGCAATCCGAGACATGAAGCGGTATTGCCGTCCTGCACCTAGATAGGTCCGGTCCATTCAACATATAGTAAGCAGACCCCTGATTAGCAAACGCACTCATGCCTGGTTGAATCTAAGAGTATATGGCGAAAACAGTCTCCGTAGAGAGGTGCCAGCGCGTTGGTCATATAGTTATTATATAGAAAAATAGATTGTTGGGAGTTAAATTGGATTTTCAGAGATTGAGCCTATTGTCTAGTAGAGATGGGTTCTAGTCCATTGGCCATCTATACAGATTTGACGTAGCACTAGTTTTCTGAAATAGAGACGGGGTGATTCTATATTCCCCATCAGGAGACCCGAACTGAAACTGTGCCTTTCACCAGACGTGCGCGTCAGATATTCGATGACAAAACAACTGGTGGCCTGTGATCTAGAACAGTTCTCGAAGCTGGAATATCACTTCGGATTGATCAGCGACCCACTTATAATTAATGGCCTGAGGCAACGGGGTCTATTTCTCTGATGAAGGCAAAGCCAACCGCTTCGAGTGTAAATCAGCTCCAGGGGAGGAACCACAGATAGTACTTCAAGCGTAGTACTTTGTACCTGAGCTTTTAGGTCTATAGTAATTATTTGCATTACAATACGTATAAAACTGGCAAGTGTTATAAACTCTCTACCAGTCGCGATATTCCTCGTTAGGATGGACAATCTACCACTCGAATACTGGGGTACAATGTCAAAAAATACAGGTTATTGGCATTATCATGGTACTGATGAAGTCGTGTCGTCTTATAGACGAAACTGACTAGCTTGTTTCACTGTCGCATAGTTTATCTCTTCCATAGCTGACGAAGCAGACAATTGAAACCTCGTGCTTCTAGGTTTCTGCAAGATTAGTCATGGGAAGGTCTAGAAAAATAACTAGTAAAATAGGGCTATGCAAAGCTCCCAGAACTAGAATCATAATTAGAGTGTTGGCGATCCCTTCTAGACTGCAGTATGTCTCAGTTGCTTGTCAATCATACGACTTGACTGTGTTGTCGTAGCATGCCTTTTCATTTTTATTTTTCATTTTTATTATTTTCTTTTCGGACAAATTTCTATTGCATAGCCTTTATTTAGCTTTTAAGTGTGCTACGAGGGACTAATCCGACCAAATATCCCGACGTGGCCAACACTTAGTCTGAGGACCTTGCATAGATGTCAAGTCATGTCAGCACGTGCTCGCGCAGAGTAAAGTGACGATCATCGCTGACGTGCGATGATTTGACAGTTATTGCCTACCCCAAGAGCACCCTAGTAGCGCACAGATATCATTTCGTCAATGCACTAGATGTTCGTAAGAATAGGTTCGTCGTCCTCCTTCCAAGGTGGTTGTATGCAGGGTGGTATGAAACACGATCACTTGAGCAGGTGCAACCCCTCAATAGACAGCCTTAACAAGGCGGCCACCTTTAGTGTAGAGCGCTAATGCACCATGTATAATGTGTAAGGGGCATATGGTGGGAGTGGTGCATTCATTCTGTACTGATTAGATAGAACCTATCATCTGGTGATTGAACATCTTTTATCATCCGCGTGCATGCCCTCGGGGCCAGTTAACGTGAAGTGTTTATGAAATGCTTATGCTTGTCTTTCCTAAGCATAAACATAGAGATCTAATCCATGTGTAGAAAACTTATCCAACAGCTTCTATGGAGTCGACAGGAGCGATGTCCAGCATGACAGGTGTCACGACCTGCTAATGACGCAGATATGTCCGGAAGCGACCAGGATCCGCTGCCACCGAGGCCTCAGCTGCACGCGGGAATTGATGCTCATTCCGTCCATTCAAGCAGACGGCTGACGCCTAAAGAATCACCTGCATGCAAAGCCAGGTTCAACGGACGAACGATGGACGAGATGAACCGGAAGGGGAAGAGGGAAAGAAGAGGGAGAAGGAGGAAGGAAGAGCAGTAAAGGGCAGTTAATTATGGGCGGTGGCCCACCGATCCAAGGTGACGCCCGGGGGAACCACCAACCAGATCGGGGCTCCCCTCAGCAGTGACTGGCTTGGACCTCCTCCGTCCTCTCTTCAGCACCCTGTCTCTCTCTCTCTCTCTCTCTCCCTTTCCCTGTTCATCAATCAATCAATCAATCAATCAATCCAGTCCTTTTTTGTCTCCTTCTCCTACATCCACCCCCTCCCCTTTTGCCTCCCCCTCTCCCATTCTTTATACATTCCCCATCTTCTTCCATTGCCACAAACCTTTTTAGTCTCCCTTTCAGCCTTACACACAGGGTATTCAATCCTCTTCACTACTCTCATTCCCTCTCCTCCTCCACTCCGTGGGCCCGCCCGATCGCCTTCGTGGTCCCTCGTCTCCTCACTACTTACGCCGTCCCCTTTTCGCTCTCGCTGGTCTCCTTCGGGTCGCATGGCCCCCTTCACCCATCCCCGATCAAGGTTCTAGTCTCTTGTTCGGGCCACCCTTGGAAACTCCTCCTCGCCTACCTAATTTAGCACCCTCTCTCAGCCTGCCCTCCTTTCCCTCCTCCGTGCGCGCATCGCCTTGCTTCATCCGCTCCTGTCTTCAACCCCCAGCCTGATTCGCCTCCACCCCCCTTTACCCTCACCAGTCAAACTCCCATATCGGTTACAGCTATCCCCAACGGAAAATTCGCTGCGGTCCATTCTTTCTTTTAAAGTTTTCATCGATCTCGAGCTGCCAGCTTAGCCTTCCTTTCTTCCCCTAGCGCTATCTCACTCGTGCGGCTTCACGAGGTGTGTCAGAAGAAACCATGTCGGTCACCGAAGACGCCAAAGTTGATCCCATGTCGCCCACCTCCGACCCCAACCTGACTTCGCAATCCACAACCATTGCCGTGCCATCATCAGAAAGTCAGGAGCTTCCTAGTGCCGCCCCTCATCCCGATAACGCCCAGGCCGAGAGCCAAGAGCCCAGTTCGGTGGATGCGAAACCCACAGAGAATAATGAGGATAATACGTCAGCTCCCGTCCTCAAGCAGGACCCAGTAGATGCTGCTCCATCTGCAAGCGCATCTCCTCAACAACACGATGAGGCGAAGGCTCCGGCAGCTGGCTCCGAGCCATCGTCCCAGGGTTCAGATGAGGCTGCTAAAGAAGAGGAGGACACGGGCCCATCCTTGGTGATCACCCTGCTCTTGATAACCGGATCCCGACACCCGTTCAAGATCGATGGGAAATACCTGCGGAAACGGTCGGTCAATGTAGAGAATTACGATCCATTCGCCATGAGCGTATACACGTTGAAGGAATTGATTTGGCGGGAATGGCGGCAAGGTATGCGTGCAATAGCCAGGATGGTCTCGGAACTTGCGGGTGGCTAACATATGATTCCTGGCAGACTGGGAGCCGCGCCCATCATCACCCAGCTCCATCCGACTCATCTCATTCGGCAAGCTGCTCGATGACAAAGCCCCGTTATCAGGTATTTATCACTTCTACCACTGATTTGGGTGCTGATGCTGATCAACTATCATCCAGACTCCAAGTTCAGCCGGGATGCTCCCAACGTGGTCCACATGACTGTGAAGCCCCAGGAGATCGTTGACGAAGAAGACGCCAAGTCCAAACCCCAGTACACCCGGGAGCGGGAGTCCAGTGAGCGTAGCCCTGGCTGTCGCTGCATCATTCAATAATGATTAGGACTGTTTCCGCCCGAGAAAGGAGATGACAGAAGTCACATACTCAAGGCAGTCCTACCATGCTTGCGTCCTCGGGATCTGCCATTATCGCTTTGCCCTCCTAACCCCGATACCAATGCCAAGCTCACTTGCTAGTGCTGCTTGAAGATTCGTCGACACGAGTCTCTTTTAGACCCCTATGGAGCCTTGTTGCTTCTCTCTGCTGGGTTCGAGTAGGCTTTGGTCCTCCCTCACGCTTGTTCGCCTTTTTGCTGCAAGGCATTGCATGTGGTTGGCTGTTTGACCGTAATGAGACGGCGTTATGGATGGGTTATCATCGCTTTACCAGCATGGCCGCATTGACATTTACCCCGTTGTCTGTTCTACCACGTGGTCACCGTTTGGCTTGCATAGTTCCATGAGCTGCTTGATGCTGCTCCGCTTCCTCTTATTTCGTATATACCCTAAGCTCATGTTCTCGCTTGCTCTCCCGCTCCCCTGTGTTGTCTCGTTGGCCGGTCTCAATTTTCTTGCATTTATGTCCACATATTGGAAGCCTATCACTTGCCCTTATTTACATGGTCCTTTGCCGTTCTGCTGTGTTTCTGTTGCGTTAGGGCTTGGACCGACCAATTTGCGGTGCTCACGGAAGACCCTGGTGGCCCTCTTCCGATCTGGCCAGCCATCTGATTGAATCTAGTTTGAGATACGGGGCTTGTGCGACCCACAGGTTGATGTCAAATATAGCGTTTCCCTGGTTTGAGGCCAGCGGAAACTACATAATGTACAAACATTGCACATATGAGTAGCTATTTGACTCGTAAAGTAGCCTTTTCCCTAACCACCATACCAAACGTCGGCTTGTACGAGAGGACCAGGTAGATGAAACCACCATTTATTGTAATGTATAATTTACCGCAGACAGCGCCTGTATCAAGAATGAGAAAAAACAAACTAAAATCCGATTCATAACAACCCATTCAACAGCCAACCAATAAGTAAAGCCATGCCATGCCATGTCATGTCCAGATCAGAAGAACTGCCAACCCCATCACCACTCAGTGATCCATACGCAATCTCTTCTCCATCTCATCATGGAAAGCAGGCGGTTCACGGAACTCATCACCTAAATTCCCACCCGTTAGCAAAAGCACGATAATTTCCCCCCTCCTCTACCAAAATAGGAAAAGAAATGGAAAACTGGGTATGAACACTCACCCTTAAACACATCCTCCCATCCCACCTCCGCATCCCTACCACCCAGAACCAAAATATCCTCATGGAGGTTTCCCATGCCGAGACCACCCAACGCAGCAGGCCTGAACGTCCCATCACGCACGATCTTCAACTCCATGCCGCGGCGCACGGGCTCCGCGATGCCGTACGCCCGACGCAGCGACTCCATCTTCAATGCATCCTGGGTGGCGCGCCACGCGAGGAGGCGGGCTTCGAGCGGGTGCGTCGAGGATGGGGTGGCGGTCGCTGTGGAGGGAGGGCCCCGGGGTGCTGGGAGGGTGATGTTGTCGCGGAGGGTGTCGGGGAGACCGGGGGCGGAGGGGGCGCCCTTGGAGGGGTGAGGGAGATCGATAACGGCGCGGGTTGTGGTGTTGGTTGTTTGGGTTGGGTTGCTGGAGGGGGGGGCGATACGGAGGGACTATTCTTTGTTAATCATTCATTCTGTATAAACGACGGTTGGGAGTTGGAGATGTGGGTGGATGGAATGCATGGGGATGGACGGACCATTGTGACGGTTGTGGTGAGGATTTTATTTGTAAGGTGGTAGGTGTATAGTGTCGTGGATGAGATTAAGAGATGGTTGGGTAGATTGGAAGGTTAGATGAGTGTGGTTCGTGAGATGGAGGTTGGAAAGTCGGAAGATAGTAAGTAGTCAGTCAGTAGAGGTACCGACGTAGCAGCAACCAGCACCAGTATTAGCAGCTCTGACATCGCAGGCCAGGCAGCCAGTCCACTGGCGCGTTCCCGCAGCAAAGCTCCTCCGGCGCACCATACCCACCACCTCCGCCAATCTTCTTCCACATCACGTGATACAATCTCTCTGCCCCGGCCAGGAAATGTTTCCCATCCCGATACCAAGATACCCCCCAGGCCCTAAAGCACAGCACATCGTCGAGGAGACATATACCAAAATGGCCCCTCTCGTCTCCTCCCTGGCCCTGCGCACGCTCCGGACCCTGGTCCAGCGTCCCGCCGCCATTAAATCCACCTCCTGCTCCATCACCACCCTCGCCGCCGCCGCTCCCCGACGACCTTTCCAGCCTGTTCTCCGCACGCCCACCGCAGTCGCTGCTGCTGCTGCTGCACGCAAGACCTCCATCCCCTCTTCCTCCTCCTCCATCCTCCGGCAATTCTCCACCTCCCCGTTCCGCCAGGCTACCTACAACCAAGTGCGGCGCGGATGCCGTGTTGCGCAGCGCGCACGTCGCTCCCGGTCTCCGGCGCTGATCGGCCGGTCTCAGATGAAGGGAGTGTGTTTGAAGACGGGTATTACGAAGCCGAAGAAGCCTAACTCCGGTGAGCGGAAGACGGCGAGAGTGAGGTTGAGTAGTGGGAAGGTGGTTACGGCTTATATTCCTGGTGAAGGTGAGATCACTTTCCTCCATTCGTTTTTTTGTGGTTCGGGTTGGGGATCGGGGGTGAGGAGAATGAGAATAGATGGGGATAATGGAATTGAGCGAGAGAGGCTAATATCTCTGGTCTGTGTGTAGGACACAATATCCAGCAGCACAGTGTCGTTATGGTCCGTGGTGGTCGTGTGCCTGATTGTCCTGGTGTGAAGTACCATTTGGTTCGTGGTGCTATGGATTTGGTAGGTTTACTTTCTGATATGGGTTTCCTGGGAATTCGGGGGTAGGTTTGCTAACTTCTCTCAGGGTGGTGTTGCTTCTCGGTTGAACAGTCGGTCCAAGTATGGTACGAAGAAGCCTAAGAAGGACTAGAGCAGTATGAGGGATGTTGCTTGTGCTTAAGAATTTGGTCATTATTATTTTTTGGTATTGTTTGTATCATTACATCGTGCTTTGACGGATCTTTATATCGTTGTTATCATTAGAACACGGCTATGTACATTTATGAGGCTTGCCTGGCTACAGAGCACTTATTTCCCTTTCCCATTTCATCCCGACTCCATCCAGTACATCCTGCAAACGATCTCTGTACCTTGCACCCCTATACCCGGAATATAGAGAAAAATTGATGCGCGCTTGTGAAGTGAAGTCCCTGACAATCTTATAAACACATGACACCCTGGTCCGGAAATCAAGAAATGAAGAATATTTTTTTTTTTTTTCAAATGTTGTGAACCTGCGTCCAGCATCCTGCAGGATCATCATGAGAAGGGTTTAGTAACGAGCTGGGAATTATCCCGTTAGTGGACGTTTTCTTACGCCTGGACAGTGCCACTCGACGGTGCGTGGTCAAGAGATGTCCGGCTTTGCTGATCACATGCACGGCCAATTTCGCGCTGCGCAAAGACAATATTTCCAATTAATTTTTTTTTTTAAATTATATTAAGAGTGAAGCACTCAGCTCTCATTCTCGTAGCCCTTGGGCTTGTCCATGTCGTTGACTTGGAAGAACCGGGACGTGCCTGTTGCTGGTTATTACTATGCACCAACAGAAGAAAGCCGAGGAACTTACAAGAGTATCCCTTCCAGTCAAAGTTGTCTTTAGGGTTGCAGTGGCACTTCAGGTCCAGCCTAAGCTGCTCACCAGTCGGGCAGTGGGTAAAGGGGACGTGGTAGTAGCCAATCTCGTTGAAGAAATGGATCTGCTCCTTCTTCAAGAGAAGTCCCGCAGCGATAGAGTGGACTGGTGCATCGCCCCAACGTTCATAGAAGAAGCCACCAGCGTGGTCGAGCGTCTCGAAGTAGTCAATGTATTCCTTGGACCGCAGCCATTCCAGACTTCCAATCTCAAAGTTGGACCACTACAAGCTGGTTAGTCAAGTCAGCTGACAGCTTCATGGGGCAATACTCACGAAGTGACACTTGTTGTAGGTCTTGCCGCCATCATCACTCAAGAATCCCATGGAGTTACCGTCCGCGATATGCTCCGGGTGTTCTTCCATGAACTTTTGCACCGTACCCCACAGGCTCGGGATGGTGTCGTAGTACTCGTATAGGCTCAGCACGAAGCTGTACTTCTTGTCGTTCTCTTTCACGTAGCGGAACGGGTCAAAGCTGACATCACAGAAGAGCTCAATGCTGGGCTCCACACGCCAGTAGTACTCATAGTTCAGCATCAACGGGTGCCGGAAGAAGAACCCGGACTCATAACGGCACATGTGACGGTAGCTTTCCGAGTCGCCGTAGATGATCTTCTTCTCTCCCATTTCCTGTCGGACCTTCTTGGCCTTATCCTGGTCGATCCACTCGGGATAAGACCAATGCTCCTTCGGGATCACGCCATAGTGTGTATTGCCGGAGATCAAGGCTGACGTGACCTTCTTGAACTCCTCGTCAAACGGCTTGTCGTTCAAAAATACCCAGTCGTAGTGATAGTTGTGGTTAAAGCGGTCCTCCACCGTCCGGATGGACTTGACCATCTCCCAAAGATCAGTGTTGCGCGCCAGGGTCACAAAGGTGGCGTTCACGCGGTCCGTCGGGATGTCTTTGATCGGTCCACTTGATGACAGCGCATCATTTTGCGAGGAGTGAGAGGAGGAAAAGGTGTCTTTGTAGGTCGCGGGGGTTAATTTTGTGCCGATATTCTCGGGGATTGGGATAGCGCTCCTAGAGATAAAGAAGAAGATGGCCAACCCCTTGAAGCCAGTCAGTAATGCGAAAGGGGTTCCGGCGGATCAGGCACACTCACCGTGATGGCAAACAAAAGATATCGCAATGGCCCTATAGCCATGATGTGAAGGGCACTGCACTGTGCCGGAGCGTCGGTGAGGAGGTGGGAGGAGTTATGTTTGGTCGCGCAGGGCTGAATACGGGTGCCTGTTGCGCAGTATCGGAGAACAAAGGAGGCCGGACGATGAGGATTAGAATGTAAATGAAGTTGACAAACGAATGACGGACAGCTAGTGTGAAGTGAGGAGGAGGAACTCCGAGAAATGGGGCCTCTCGATCAATGCAGGCTATGACAGGCCCGGTGAGAAATGCGCCTCCCAGGTATTCTTGGAAATCAATCTATGGGCGATCGGTAACGACAATGCAGATGATGGACCCGCGGCGCATCAGGCAAAGATTAAAGTTAGTTGGCAATTCGGGGCACTGGTTGTCGATCCTGACCACGGCGCTCGTGCTCCCCAACCGTTCTTTATTGGAAGAGTTTGAGTCTGGTCAGAAATATCGGAGACGATGGGGAGATAAAATGTGGGAAAAAAGCAGATGTCAACAAGCGCCTGCGTACGTTGGCAGTTTAGCTTATTCGCCCCGGTATGGTGAGGGCGACGTAATTTCCCCCGTTATTGGCCGGGCCACGTACGTCGCACTGGTTCTGAGCCACCAAGTGGATGCGTGAGATAAGAAAGAATACATTCTGGCATTCAGTGTCTACAAGAAGGACTTTTACTCTTCCCTAGGGAGGGGTCTATACCGAGAATGACGTTAAGGAAGGGACGCGATCGATGCTTGAGTGTATCAGTCCATCTGGCCGGGCGTCGATCCATCCTGCCTTGGGATTGGGGGCCACATACTCCCCATAGGGCGTGATAGATCTGTTATTACTTATTAGAGCCCAAGTAATATTAATACATACAAATGCCCTGCCCTTGATACTACTTTATGAAGTAGACAATTATCCGTGTACTCCGAAAGGCAGAACCAGTATGGTGTGATATAGATAGAAACAAAAAGGGGGTTCGTGCTCATGTCTACAAAGTCCATTATTTGGCCGAGTCCAACTGGAACAACGGGAGAGCAGATGACTAAGGTGCAACAGATTCCCCGTGATGCGGTGACTAAATGTATGCCTTACTGCCTCAGGCGTTAAGGCTCCCAGGCCACTACCGGACTAAGCTAAAGCGGGTGATATCAGACCGGCTGTGAACCTCATCCCGCACTACCCAATTATGCCGCGGTGGTAATTCTCGCCCTCTTCCTACACCCACTGCCTCCCCCCACCCCCCGCTTCCCCCGAAGATGTCCTTCTTCGGTTTCAATACCACCCTGCCTAGGGATCGAGCTCCTGCGGGCGAACAGAGGGGTATCTTCGACACCCCTGATCCGTTCGCCGAAGTCGCCCGCGCCAGACTGGCAGCAAACTTCCAAAGCGGCGAGGATGACGACGTGTAAGTTTCCCTCACTTTGCCTCAATGAATTCAATTGAGACAACTCGGGGGCATATCGCTGACCAGTGGCTTTTTCTTTGATCACTATAGCATCGACTTTGAGGATACGTACGACGGCCTGGGAGACCAACTGGACGATGACCAGGATGCGTTCAACGATGACACGTTTGGTGGCGGCTTCGACACCGGCCCGGTTGGAAAGGATTTCGACTTCTTCGGAAAGACTGCTCAGGTCGCCGATGTAATCGGGGAGGAGCAGATCCGCTACAGCCTTCAGAAACCCGGTGCGCCTGCGACCGCGCCTTCGCAGCCCAGCGCCGATACTGCTCTGCCGGACACTACGGCCCAGAAGCCCAAACGGTCTGGCTATGAGAAGTACAACGACCCGGGTTACATCCCCGACCTTCAGGCCAAGTCTAGCGTCTGGGGCATGTCGAAGAAGCCGGAACAGCAGCTCCAGCAACAGCAGCTCCAGCAACAGCTACAACAGCTACAGCAGCCCACGCCTCAGATGGTAGCGCAAGCGAAGAAGATGCTGAGTCTCGAGGAGGTGGAAGCGCAGCTGCGGAGACAGGGTCCGACTTCGCTGCCCGCCCAAATCCCGCTGTCCCTTCCGCAGTCGATGCCAGAGCCCACTCAGCCTCTCCAGCGAGCTCAGATGCCCCCTCTGCCCGAAGGCTTCCCGCAGCTGCCGCCTGAGATTCTACAGGCCCAGTTCGCCAAGGGAGTGCCACCGGCGCAGTTGTTGCACCAGCCACCCATGGTTCCAGAGCCGTATCCGCTTCCTCCAAATCTGCCGATACATATGCTGCAAAATGCCAACTTGCCGCCTCAGCACATGGTGCCTCCCCAACGTCAGGCGATGCCACCGGCGGCTCAGCGACCCCAGCAGCAGCAACCGCCCCTACCTCAAGCTCCCCGTGGTAACAACGCGCAATTGCCAGTGATTACCAACTCTCAGCAGTTGATGCACCTGACGGAAGAGCAGCGCGTAGCGTACCTGATGGAAGATGCCAAGCGTGCGAAGCGCAACCACAAGATCTTCCTTCTATCCAGGGGCAACGGGCTGATGACCCCGCAAGACAAGAACTTCATCACCCGAATCCAGCTTCAGCAACTAGTCGCTGCTGCTGGCAACGTGGCGGACTCTGATGCAGAAGCGGTCTTGGCAGAGGACTTCTACTATCAGGTTTACAGCCAGATCCGGGGTGCGCCGCGGCAACACCCACACCAACCTCTCGGTCACTTTGCGCAGACATACCTCCTCCAGACAGGCAACAGACTCGGGGGCCATGGCTCTCGCCGGCAGTTTCAGAGCGCCGACAATCACATGCAGAGAATGCAGCAGCAGGTCCAGCGTGCGGTGGAGGCCGCTAAGCAGAAGCCTAAGAACAAGCAGCTTATCATTGAGGGCAGCTTGGGTAAGATTTCTTTCAGCAACGCCAAGACGCCAAAGCCCATGCTCAACATCAAGCGTCCGGAGAGCTCGGAAGGCGCTAAGACGGTGAAAAAGCCTCACACCGATTTGAGTGTTAGCGACCGCAAATCAGTCCTGACCAACCTTGAGAGCGTTTACAGCACGCTTATGGATATGGAGGACATGGAGCGCACGATGCCTCCCCCGCCAGATGAGAATGATCCCGAGGCCATTCAGAAGCACATGGAATGGAGACAGAAGATCCGCTCGCTCAACCAGAAGTTGTGGCGCGACCTTAAGGTCATGGAACCCATTGTCCCCAACACCAACACTCCCCATCCGTTCATTGCCTTCCTTGCTTATCCCAAGGGCAAGAAGGCCATCCCCCGCATTTTCCGCCACATTGATCAGGAGCAGCGTGTTACTATTCTTACTATGATCGTTGTGCACTTGGATTCTCTGGACGTCGTCCGGCGCGCCCAGCCTGTTCCGGGTGAGACCCAGCCCTCTCTGGCCGTTCGGGAAGCCATTGAGCTTTTCTCTCAGGCCGTCATGCCCAGTCTTCTGGGGTACGTCAACGAGGCGCCATTCAATATTATCATTGGCTTGCTGGGACTTGTCATTGCGCAGACGCATGTCCAGATGATCGCGAGGACCCGCATTGGACTTGGAATCTTGACCATGCTTCTCAGTCGGGCCGAAATCGTGAAGGAGGCTGGACAGGCTACGGAGCGGGACTGGCAGCAGTGGGTTGAGAAGTTCAATGTGCTGTTTGACACCCTTGAACCTACGTTTGCAGATATCTTCCCCAGCTCGATCAATGCTGGCGACGACATGTATGTGTGGCAGTTCTTGGCTGCAGTTGGTATCGGAGCTAGCCCCGAACAACAGCAACGCCTTGTTATTGCGGTTAAGTAAGTGCAACCTCTCGTTTACAATTATTTACATTGATACTAACCGTTCTACCAGGGACCGGGTGATGGAGACGGTGACTTACAGCAAGACGCTTCCTGCCGATATGGCCAGTGCGCGTCTTGGCAACGTCAACCTTTTCATGCGGGCTATTGGCCTCGATGTCGAACTTCTAGGTTAAATGACGGGGGACGATCTCCACGAGATACTTCTTTCGCTGCCCATTCCCAAAGCTCCCAGGGCAGGCTGTTGCCCCGATTATGCGTTATCCAGGACCGGACAGGACCTATCTCAGTATCGATCGTGAACACCCGAGTCCCAACATGACAGGGTCTGTCAGGTGGACTCCGGGCAGATGTGCTTAGCGAAGTTGGCCTATACTTAAGACCGATACCCGGTAAACGGGTGCTCGGGAGGGGACAACTGGCTGAAAGGTCAGTTGGTCTCTTGAGACGCGAAGCCGAGGTATGACGGCGTGCGATTGCAGCCGAATAATGGCACTGGCGAATGAAGCGCGTGCGACCAGTGATGTATTAATTACGCATCACCATGATTCTTATGTTCCGTCCCACGACATGTTTGGTGGGTCTGTCAATAGTGATGTCTTCTAGCTATGTCTTCATGTGTTCTTTTCAATCCTATCTCTTTTATTTTGGAATATTCTGTCGGTAGCCGTGGGTTTTGTATGGATCAGCCGAGTAGCCTGGCGCTGCAGTGTGGAGGGACACCAATTATCAGCCACCTTTTCATTTTCCATTCACCGGCAATCCCCAGATCTATTCTCAACCACTCACTGTCCAGCCTTTCTGCAAACACCTTCCAAGAGGACATTTCCACCTCGTTCTCCAAATCGATCCAGGCTTGGTTAGATGCAATCCAATTCGGGTGCATCACCATAACTCAGATCACGTACACTATCCGCAATGAAATATGATGCCAACCTGTAGGATGTAAAGCTTCGGGATTCTGGTCTCTTTGTGCGGGTCCTCCCACATGCCTGACTTCCTTTGTCGCCATGCATCCATCCGCACTCTGAAGGTGCCATCTGCTCCGCCTCGCGCATCATCTCTCGGTCTAAGGAATGACCAACAGGTAAGCCATAGTCTGACGTGCATTGGAAGCCAGGGTGTCTGGATCCCCGAGGTACCTACAGACGTGATTCGCTTGCACTATGACTACCCTGCACAATTGTGAAGGGAGGCCTTGAGAGTCCAACAAGTGTTGACAATAATCGACATATCAGTGGTTGAAGCTGAAGGTACCGATGTACCCACTTGGTTTATTAGGAGTGTGCGAGTGTGCAGACAAACGCTCAAATCATTGATCTCCAGAGAGGTCTGTTCATCGCTGGTTAAGCGCCGTGCACGAGTTTAGCGGCTTTCCCTGGACGCTAATTGCATAGTCACACTGTGCTAGCCAGCTTAGTGACAGCCCCAACAGTACTAATGCAAGGCTACATGTTCCCTAATGCCTCGACCTGTGATGCTCTCCAGCATTATCCTTGCAAAGTTGGCAATTGCGACTGAAGCGCGTTCAGCCCATCAGCACTAATACTGCTGCTGTGTGACAGCAACCTACTTAGGGACAGAACGTGGCTCGGTTGTGATGGTCACCAACTTCATTCATACTGTCCAGGGATCCACAAATCCTAGGCGGCTAAGCCTAATATTTGAGATTAGTTCAACGTCCCGCCTATAAGACAGGAGGAAAGATGATTATCTTTGAGGAACGTAAAAATTGGATCCAATGTGGACCAACGTGGCTTTCAATGTCGAAGTTGGAAGGAGCGGCGAGAGTGTTGGGATGAGTTAAACAAAATTGCATCCCTCATTCTGGGTGCTTTCTCATAAAAGGTAGACCTTGGGACCTGAGCTCGCCCAGTGAAAGCTGAATGAAGTCGAGTTGATGACTCTGAGCCCATCCAACTATACACGCCCTCGCTTAGCGATCTACTTACTTCTACTTTTGATCATGCTGGAAAATGCCCTACGGTCTCTTCAGAATCACTGACAGTTCTTGACAAGTACAGCCATCATGGATCTCTTGGGGTGTGTAGTCATCGCCGTCGCTGGCTACATTATCTACCAAGTTTGGTTCCATCCACTGTCCTCCTATCCTGGCCCATTCGTCGCCAAGCTGACCAATCTCTACTCGGTGGTTCACGCCATACGCGGCGATCGCCATGAGGACCTATATCATCTGCACCAACGCTATGGTCCCGTTGTGCGAGTCGGCCCGCGGCGCGTTTCTATTCTTGATGCAAAGGCGCTGGAGCCCATCTACGGCTTCCATGCCAACGTTCAGAAAGCCAAGTCGTACAACATCTTCTATGGCGTGAGCATCTTCAATGCCATCGATCGCACAGTGCATGCTCGCAAACGTCGAGTCATGTCTCATGCCTTTTCCAGCCAGGCACTACGTGGCATGGAACCCCATATCTTGTCAGCCATTCGCGACTGGTGTGCCGCCCTAGGTGATCAACATCCCGATAAGCAGGTGCTATCTGCATGTTCCCGTCCTGGAAGCTGGTCAAGGCCCAAAAATATGGTGCACTGGAGTGCCTGTGTGGTCTTCGATGCGCTTGGGGAGATCTGCTTCGGCAAGACATTCAACACCTCTTTCAGCGACGCCAACCACTTCTTCTTCCCGTTGATGGCCTTGAACCTCCGTATCATGAACATCTGTGGGCAGATGCCTATTCTATGCTCCCTGGGTTTGGAAAGGTATCTTCGGCGCGGTACTGTCGCCAACCGCCAGCGACAGATTGATTTCTCCCGGCAGCAGTTGCAGACTCGGCTCGCCGCAGAGTCCACCCAGCGTCGAGATATCATCTTCTATCTGCAGCAAGCACGGGACCCGAAGACCAATGAAGGCTATTCTGAGGCGGAACTGATGTCAGAGGTTATGACGCTGCTAGGAGCCGGTATGTACACAAATTCGTTCCAAGCGTGATTTGCCCCGTTTTATATCCTTTGCTGAGACTCACCGGCTGAACTATCAGGTAACGACACAACCAATACGACATTAACTGCCATCTTCTACTATCTTGCTCATAACCCAGCGATCCTCGCCCGTCTGAGCGCAGAGATTCGTGCTGTCTTCCCTACACTGGAGGCGATCGTTGCCGGTCCCGATCTGTCGCAGATGGCTTACCTTCACGCTTGTATCGATGAGACCATGCGTGTATGCCCGCCTGTACCTACTGATCTGCCACGAGAAGTCCTCCCTGGAGGGCTTCGGGTGGGAGAGTGGTATTTCCCGGCCGGCACGGTTGTCGCAGTTCCCACCTACGCGTTGCACCACAGTGAAGACCACTTCTACCGCGCCTTTGTGTACGATCCGAGTCGGTGGCTACTGTGTGGCAGCAAAGGCACTGAGCAAGGAGAGGGGGTGAGTGCTGAGGTGCTCAGTCGGCAGCGGCAGGCCTTTGCACCTTTTAGTATGGGACCGCGGGCGTGCATTGGGCGGAATGTAGCCATTCTCGAGCTCGAGCTGACTATTTCCCGGGCATTGTGGTTGTATGATATACGACTGGCACCGGGAACGGAGCAATTGGGCGTCGGCTACCAAGGCGAATACAAGATCAAGGACCATTTCGCAGTTGGGAAGGAGGGCCCTGTGTTGCAATTCCGGATGCGACAGAAATGAGCGTTTCTTGATCGTTTCTCGGGCGGAGTTTATGGTCCGCTTAAAAACCAGGACATTTCCCATTCCATCATGGTTCTTAGTCAAGGTTCCTGAAGCATGTGTACTAACAATCACTGGTACTCTCAATTGTGTCTCGCCTCTATCGGGGTCTCATGATATTATCGAACTATATCTATATCCCCAAACAGCAGTCAAGCATCTTTCCAGCTTTAGCCTTGTCACTTCCGCTTCAATCGATTCGACAGCCGTAGCGGGTATCTGAAAGGATTGCAGCGTAATATCCACTGACAGGCCCAAAGTGGTACAGCTCGGATTTGTCTGATACGCAGACCTGTCAGAAGCGAGATAACTTGCTGGGAACAAGACTCATGCCACACGCCCGTATTTTCAGCTGGCCAACCAAGGGTAGTAGCTTCAGACGGTGATAGCGCCTGCATGGGTAGCTCCATCAGCCTATTGAAAGAGATAGATAGACAGCTGACGTGCTAAAGACGATACAGCATTAGCGCTTGCGACCCCGCGCTCTTAGTATCTACTAGTAGTTGCTGTCCCTTCGCAACCTCTGATTTCGCACACCAATTCGGCGTGAAGAGAAATCCCTGCGGGGGGCCCATCACACCGATAGAATATACTATGGAGTACTATTACTACATATCACCTTCGGACATGCCGGATGCGGAGGATGGACGTGTCATTCTTACCCCCGAACGCAACCACTATATCTCTCCTGCAGTGATAGGCGGGGTTTCTTCTAGCGAGTGCATCACCGTCTTGCTCTAGACTCCAAACTAGCTAAGTATGTCCCCATGCCGTCTAGTGGCACCTCCCCGGCCCCAGGATAGTGGGTGACACTTCGGCCTGCAGCTATCGTGACCAGTAGTTGGTGAGCCAGTTGCTTCTCTTCCCGTTCCCCTCCTCGGCCATCTGCAAGGCCGGCAGCGCCACGAGAAGATGCAGCAGGGTCGGTGTATGTTGCTTACATTTATATTAACGTGCACCGTCACTGCCCATGTCCGATCTCTTCTCTCGCAGCTTCAGTCAACTATGCTGGCATTTCATACACGCCTACCATGATGGCTCTGGATACCTCCCACATCTGGCTTGCCCTTGTCGGTATTGCAAGCTTTTACGTCCTGCGATCTATCTATCGACTGTATTTCCACCCGTTATCTGGAATCCCCGGGCCAAAACTCGCAGCGGTTACACATTTGTATGAGTTCTACTATGATGTTGTCATCCATGGGAGGTTTCTATTCCAGATCGAGAAAATGCATCAGCAATATGGTAGGCAAGGGGAAATCTAACCAGCCGAAGCTCTGCTAATTTCTCTCTCAGGTCCAATTGTGCGCATCAACCCCCGTGAAGTCCATATAAGCGACCCATCCTTCTATGACGAGATCTATGCCTCCAGCACTCGCAAACGCGAAAGAGACCCTCTGGCTTACGGCGCATTTGCGCTCCCCTACTCTATGATCGGTACGATGGGCCACGAACATCACCGCTTCCGACGTAATATCCTCAATGATTTCTTTTCCAAGCGATCCGTTCTCGCTATATCTCCCTTCATTGAGGAGCGGGTGGAAAAGCTTAGGGGGCGCTTTGAAGGGTTCTATCGTGATCAGAGTGTAGTGAATTTGAGCGATGCATTTGCCGCGCTGACTTCGGACGTGATCACCTATTACTGCTATGGAAAGCGCTGGGGCTTCATTGAGGACAAGGACTTCCGCAGCGATGTCCATGGAGGCAATGAAGAAAATACCGGGCTTGCCCACTTCAACCGCTTCTTCCCCATTGTGCCTGAAACAATGCGCAAAATTCCGCTGCATCTGATGGCGCTATGTCTCCCCGGCAAGGCCGGTATGCTCCAGTTTCAGGGTTCCATTCTAAGCACTATATCCGAGAACACGCATGACAAGGCATCGGAGAAGGAAGACCGGACCATCTTCAAAAGGTTGACGGACCCCAACTTACCAGTCGCGGAAAGAAGCCAACGTCGCATTGAGGACGAGGTGTTTACGCTCCTTGGTGCAGGCACAGAGACCACCGCCAGTACCTTGATGATCATGACCTACTACGTGTCGCGGGATCGAAGCATACGAGACAAGCTGCGGAGTGAACTGAAGCAGGTCCTGCCCACACCTACCAGTACAGCGACCTGGCCGGAGTTGGAGAAGCTGCCATATCTGGTATGTCATGAGCCTGCAACGCCGACTATGCGTCTAACCGATTTGCACCTCTAGACGGCCGTTGTGAACGAATCTTTACGATTGTCCTATGGACTGATTATGCGGCTGCCCCGCGTGGCACCGACTGAGACTCTGAAGTACAAGGACTACGTGCTTCCACCGGGGGTAAGTGACTCTATCGCTCTGCTTTTGCAACCATGTCATGATCTAAGATTCTTGTTAGACGCCAATGAGCACTTCCACTTGGTTTGTCCATCGCGACCCGTCCCTCTTTCCCGAGCCGGACAGATTCGACCCGGAGCGCTGGATCAAGGCTGCAGAGGAAGGGGTTAATCTAACGCGATACATTGTATCATTTATGAGAGGAAGTCGAGCTTGCATTGGGATGAAGTCAGTCCTGCCCTACCACTGTTGGGGTGTCTGCTAACCAATCCCATAGTCTGGCATACATTGAGCTCTACCTGACGATTGCGCATGTGGTGCGACGGTTCAACTTTGATGTGGAGATCACCAGCCCGGAGAGTATGCGCATCACACGCGATAGGATTGTTCCTGGCACGGAGAAGGGGCTGATGCGGGTGTATGCGAAGGTGACAGATATGATGGAGGATTAGCTGTCAGTAGAAGTAGTATAATCTGGCTCTGAGATAATCTATAGTTTGGGCCATACTACTAGTACTTGCTACTACCATACAGTCTTATCAAGCTTGAGTGGCCGATAAACATGAATTAACAAGTTGTTTGTAGCACTCCTGTATGGAGACGGTGTTAATTTATGACTGTATGATGGAAAAAGAATGATTTAAGATCAGAACTAGTTGTCAATTAACAAGTGACTTTATTGCAGTAACCAATCCATCCTAGAACCGTAGAGGTTGAGACATCACCGATCCCATACACACTAAATACAGGTTATCACTACTACCAGAGCCACAGCCACTCATCCTCACCTTCCATGTCAGACTATGTTTAATGTCATAAGTAGACAAAAAAAAAAAAAAAAAAAAAAAAAAAAAAAAAAAAAAAAAAAAGCTATTATACAATATGAAAAAAGCAATAAATAAATCAGGTCGTGCCCGGGTTCGAACCGGGGTTGTCGGAACTTCCGAAGCACAGGAGTACTCAAAATCCGAAGGGATAACCACTACCCCACACAACCGCATGCGGATAGTTGTCACTGGCGATTTACGACTCATCAGTTGCCATTGCTGTAGCTCTACTTGGACAACGCCTTCTCTCTGCAGTGAGGGATTATTCGGACAGGTAAACCACGTTGCGGGCAGATAGCCTGCCTGCCTGCCTACCAACTGCATGGTTTCTAAGGTTATTACAAGCATCTGTATTACTGTTCTGAGACAGAGAGATAGTTGTGAGTTCGTTATCCTATCTGGAGAGCTATTAGCAAGCAAGCAAGCAAACCAGTGGGGACTCGGACCAACAAAGACCACCTGTTCGGCATGGACACTACTACTACTTCATCTACTTCGTACAGTGCTCGTTCACAAGCTACTGGGGGATTACTATACACTGCATCTACCCCTGAAATGGGTGTCCAGACATAACTTAGTCCTATCTATCTACATGGATAATCCCTCATCTCCCTGATCATCACCATCGTCATCACCAGCAGACTCTCATAGCTAGCTAATTAACTATCTACTCCAGGAGAGAGACAGCAATCTGACACTCGCAGATCGTTTCCCTAATACCATAATTGGCCCCCCTTAACAACCACGGATTTATTAAAAGGCACAGAGAGAGGGAGGGAGGGAAAGAGAAAGAGGCAAATGGCAGCGTGACAGCCCACCCACGATTGATTGGACCCTTGGGATCGGGTGGAAGCGGTCCACTTCACACTTGCTACTTAGTCGTGGAGTGGGAACTTTGGCCTCGAGGTGTGTGTCTTGGACCCGCCCGAACTGGTGGTACCTTGACCTGGACCTGGTTAAAAGGGAAAAATGAGAGAATGGCATGGTGCCATCATAATACTATTATAGTATCGGTGCATATAAATGGTCAGTAATTACGGATATGGCACCTTGTAAGAAGCAGGGAATAAGTAGGCAAATAGATAGTAGGTAGTGGTGGTGGTGGTGCAATTCAACCCCAGTAGATACTTCAAGCCAGTCAGTCAATTAACCGTGACGGACTTGTCTCGGGCCGTGTGTATGTTTCAGTTCTAGCCTATCGATCCATCTAACTACTTTGTATGATACTTATTAACCGATAGGAAGGATGAGGATTAAGATGATGATCAGACAAGGTATTGGCATATCAACGGACATGCACATGGCTGGATGTGGTCTCTCTGGAGGGGTAGAAAAACTCCGTAAGTACTTTTTCCCTGAACTTTACTCCGACTGGATTGTTGTGCACATATCATGCAGCAGTGCAGCATGCATGCATCTATCCTGCGGCCGTGAGACTGATACATATAACCCCCACTACAAAATAATGGGTATATTCGAGTAAAGCAAATGGTGTGATGTTGCTGGTGGGAGGATGTGGGATATGGCGGGGGGAGAATTAATATGGATCGTCCCGTGGTCGAGGGCCGTTTACGTAGACTGTCTTGGTTGATCAGCAGGTGGAAATAGCAATAAGGGGGTTTATGAGTTTGAATTGGATAGAGGGGGAGATGAAGGCAGAGAGAGAGAGAGAGAGAGAGAGTGAGTGAGTGAGAGGCAGTAGAGAGGCAATTAGGCAAGACGAAGTGAGTTACTCTTTCTGTACCTGAATTACTACTTGGTACATGGGGAGGGTGACTCCATCCAAACAATCACCAATTGCGGCCGCCCCTTAAATATCCCGTCCCCGCCGCCCGACTTTCTTCCCCCCCAAATCTCCGTTTGCGCCATCTTACCTTTCCGTTTCATCTTCTTCCCAATTCCCTCCATCTTCTCTCTCTTCCTCTTTTTCTTCCGACTCTCTCTTTCCCTCTCTACCTCATAGTCATACCTTATCATCATCATGCCTGCTGGATCAGTTCTTGTCACCGGGTAAGCTTCTAATCAATGCCTTTGTCTCTCTAACGCACCCGCTGACCCCGCAATTCTCCCCCAAACAGTGGAACGGGCTACATTGGCTCTTTCACCACCCTCGCTCTCCTCGAGGCTGGCTACAAGGTTGTCGTCGCTGACAACCTCTACAACTCCTCTGCTGAGGCTCTCAAGCGCATTGAGTTGATCAGCGGCAAGAAGGCCGAGTTCGCTCAGCTCGATGTCACCGACGAGGCTGGCTTTGACCGTGTCTTCGAGGCTCACCCCGACATTGACAGCGTTATCCACTTTGCTGCTCTGAAGGTGCGCTTTCCCTCTAACGTCTTCCTCCATATGCCTCAATCTACCTCTCTGCATATCTCTTGCGCATCAAATGGAGGGTTCCTGGCTGACAGCTATCTAGGCCGTCGGTGAGTCCGGTGAGAAGCCTCTGGACTACTACCACGTCAACGTCTACGGCACCATCTGCCTCCTGCGCTCCATGGTCCGCCACAATGTCACCAACATCGTCTTCTCCAGCTCCGCCACCGTCTACGGTGATGCCACTCGCTTCCCCAACATGATCCCCATCCCTGAGGAGTGCCCTCTGGGTCCCACCAACCCCTACGGCAACACCAAGTTCGCCGTCGAGACTGCCATCACCGATGTCATCAACGCTCAGCGCAACAACGCCATCAAGGCCGGCAACGAGGCCGAGGCCCAGAAGTGGAACGGTGCCCTGCTCCGCTACTTCAACCCCGCCGGTGCTCACCCCTCTGGTATCATGGGTGAGGACCCCCAGGGTGTCCCCTACAACCTGCTTCCCCTCCTTGCCCAGGTGGCCACCGGCAAGCGCGAGAAGCTGCTCGTCTTCGGAGATGGTACGTTACCTCTTGCAGTAGAACTTGAAATTCTCAGCACCTAAACTAACTGGGTCAGACTACGCCTCCCACGACGGAACCGCCATCCGCGACTACATCCACATCCTCGACCTGGCGGATGGTCACTTGAAGGCCCTGAACTACCTCCGCGCCAACAACCCCGGAGTCCGTGCCTGGAACTTGGGTACCGGCAAGGGCAGCACTGTCTACGAGATGATCCGTGCCTTCTCGGCGGCCGTGGGCCGTGACCTCCCCTACGAGGTTGCTCCCCGCCGTGCTGGTGACGTCCTCAACCTGACCTCCAACCCCACGCGCGCCAACAACGAGCTGGGCTGGAAGGCCGAGCGCACCCTCGAGCAGGCCTGTGAGGACCTCTGGCTGTGGACCCGCAACAACCCCCAGGGTTACCGCCAACAGCCCCCGGCCGAGCTGCTGGAGAAGCTGCAGAAATAAATAATGACCCCGCATATGTTTAGAATTTCTTCTTTGTTTTGCCAGGAAAATCGATAGAGACACGATTGGACTTGCTAATTGGATGACGAATTTCCTTTTTTTTCCCCCTTGTTGTATCTAGAGAGCAGAGCTTTGATGTTGATGTAACTGATTTCGCCATGCAATATGCAGCGATAGGATAGACCTTGGATCACGTAGCTCTATCAATTTCAATGTGTGATAATGTACAATCCAACCCAACCCAACCCAACCCATGAGTCTAGACTAAAGAAATCTTTATACAACTATTTCCCCTTCCGACTCCTCCTCGACCCCGGCGTCTGTTCCTTTGCCCCCGACCCCGATGCCTTATTCTTCTCATTCTCCTCTGCCACCTCCTTCTCCTTATTCGCCAACGCCCTCCGCACCGCCGACTCCCTCTCTTTAGCCTCAATCAACTTCTCACTAAACTCCCACAACATCTTCCCGGCCTCCTCATCCTTCACCTCCTTCCTTGCCAAATCCACTTCCTTGCACTCCTTAATCATCCAACCCCCCTCACCACGCCCATACTCCGCCTCCATCGCCGCATACAGCACACTCTGCGCCCCCTGCTGCGGCGACTTCAACACCAACCACCACACCGGCCATGTCACCAGATACACCAACAATCCCCACAACGACCCCCCCGTCATCCACCGTCTCATCCCCGGAGTGCGACTAAAACCCGGATCCACCATAATCACCCGCGCACTGCACGGCTGTCCATCCGGCCGCTTAAACGAATTCAGATGTTTCTGGAACGATTGCGCAAACACCATAAGCGAGAGCTTGCTCAGCCCATACAAACTGACTCCCTTAGTCTTCTTCTTCTTATTCTTGGGCTTCTCCCGTTGTAGCTTGCCGTTCTTCATCACCACCCTCCTCCCTTCACCATTATCCCCCTCCGCATTCGCAGCAGCAGCAGCAGTAATGGCAGCAGAAGCCTCCACCTGCCTCAGATCCCATTTAGCCCCAATATAACTCGAGCACGTCGTAAACACAACCCTCACATCCCGATGCGCCGGCTGCGCCCGCAACGCCGGAGACAGGATACTCAACAGATGGAAATTCGCTAGGTAATTCACCATCCACTCCTCGTCGATGCCATCCACTGTCAACTTCCGTTTCTGGGATACAGGCGGCGCCGCATTCCCACAGAGAATCACCATGTCCAGGCGTCGCGGCGCCACATTGTCGATCCATTTCGTCGCGAAGGTGCGGATGGAGTGCAGAGAGGAGAGATCGACTTGCTCGGCGTAGATTAGTTGGTTGTTGGTGCTGCGGCGGAGGTCCTCGATGTATTCGGCCAGGAAGATGTCCGTGGGGGGGTGCTGTGTTAGGAGGATGATTTGGGCGCCGCGCGAGGCCAGGGCGGAGGTTACTTGGGCGCCGATGCCGGATGTGCCGCCCTATTTCCAAGTAAAATTATATATTAGTATTGAGGTTTGCGGGGGGAAGGGGAATTGTGGGTGGTAAGTACAGTTATCATAACGACTTTCGAATGCATCAACCGCTCAGAGGTATTTCTGGCGCCCCCGAAATAATATTTCAGGGCGGCGAGGAGGACCGCCCAGGGGAGGATTTTGAGAACTGTCCATAGGTGCGGGATGGAGTTTGTGCCCTCTGTTATTGCTGTGGTGATGATGGGGATGGGCATTTTGCTTTCGAGAGAGTAATATATGTGGTGAAAGGGGAGGGAGAGAGTGAGCGGAGGAGACTAAGACAGATATATCTGTCTCCGTCCGGACGGAGTTAAGTTCGAGAACCACCGTCGGAGGTAAGTACATATATCTTAGCGGCTGATCTCCCGCCACTCATAGCTGCCATTAATCACTTTTACCCCCCTCTCTTCTTCTTCGTTCTTCTTTCTCCTCACATCACAGCAAATTACAGTATTGAGAGGACAATGCCACCCCCTCACCAGAACAACAACAACGAAGAAAACAACAACAACAACGATGATGATGATGAATACTTCCTCCCCCTGGAAGACCAACGAGTCTTCGGCGCAGGGATCCGTCGCAAGCGCGTGCCGTTCGTGCGCTCCTCGGAGCACCACCTCTCTACCACTGATTCTACAACACACATATCCTCCGAACCAGCTACACCCGCCTCGACCGGGCAAAGCATAGCGAACAAATACCTCTCGATTGTCCTTTCGAAGTCGAATCCCGCTACTCCGACACCGGAATCAGAACCAAGTTCGCATCCACAGAAAGATGATGCCGATGATGATGACATCTGCCCCGTCTGCAATCTCCCCTATACTACGCCTACCCACCACACATCAGACACAACAACAGACAATGGAGAAGGAGAAGAAAGGAGCAGGAGGAGGAGGCATATACATGAAGCTACCCTCCCGCACCAACTTAGTCTCCCGCACTCGCACCCACCGTCCCATCTAGATCGCACACGTCCTGGACTGCGCTACTTGGCTGCCTACGGCTGGGATCCTGATTCGCGGGTGGGACTGGGACCCCAGGGTCGAGAGGGAATACGGGAGCCGGTGAAGGGCAAGCTGAAGGAGGATACGGTGGGGTTGGGGGCTGTTGTTCCTGAGGTTAAGGATAAGAGTGGGAGGGTGCAGAAGAAGCAGAAGGCCAAGGTATTGAATGCGAAGGAGGTGAGGAGGGGGCAGTTGGAGGAGAGGAAGAAGGGGGAGAGGTTGCGGGAGTTGTTTTTTCGGGATGAGGATGTGTTGAGGTATTTGGGTGGGAAATGAGTATTTTATTTATTTATTTGGTTTTGTTTGGGGGCGTTGGTTGGTTTGGTATATACCCAGGAGTTGAATAAGTATTAGGGTTCTTGTCTGTCTGCATGGTACTTACATAGTCACTACATACACAGAAGATACTAGAGGCTAGTATTAATGTCCGCAGTAAGGTGCTGCGGGATGGGGCTGAAGCTGAAAGAATGGCAAGGCTACCGGAAGAACCGGTGCTTCTTTTCCTTCTTCTCTTTCTTCTCCTTCTTGTCCTTCTCCTTCTCCGGCGGCGCTGCTCCGTTCGCCGCTTTGCCGTTCGTCCCCAGTGACATCGTCGCCAGCGCGGATGTCGGTGCCATCGGCTTCAGATTAACCGGGACCGGCTTCTTCACCGGCTGCGCCGGCGCCGGTGGAGCTTCCCGCTCGAAGAGATGCGCCGGCGCTGTGGGCTTGGGCCGTTCGGCGGGGATGTCCAGCCGGCGTCGGTCTACACTAAGATCGCCCACCTGGCGCAGGAACAATCCGGGAGACAGCATGTGCGATGTAGCCAGAAACACGTCCTTGCCGCACGTCTGCGAGATCTCGTAGCATGTACGTGCCTCTCCATATGTAGCACCACCTGCCATGAACACGATGATCCGCTGTTTCGGCTGCTCGCCTGTCGACCGCGTCCGGGCCCACGTCGGTTTGGCACTGCGCAGCGACGCCTGGGAGAGACCCTCTTGTTGTCCTGGCGTGTCGGTATCCGTGTGCGGCCGCGTGAATGGGAAGACGCTGGGGTCCAGCGTGCCGCGCACCAGCTCCTCCAAGATCAACTTGAGGTTCAGGTCGTAGCGCGAGAGGCTTTCCTCTTCGTCGATGGGCCCGGACGGTGGCTTCCTGGTGAACAGCGGCTGCACGGGTGGCTTGTCGTCCTTCAAAGGCTTCTCCACCCGGGCTCCAAGTAGGTCGAGATTGGCCACAATTTCACCGTCCTGCGGTGCAAGTTGCGCGTGTGCCAAAAGCTTCCGGATGTCACCTGCGAGGATGCCTCCCCGGTAAATAATATAGAGTAGCAAGAGTCTCAGTCTCTCTGGCTGCTTGATCGCATCGTCGTCTAGCAATTGCACGAGCTGGGAAGCCAGGTTCTTTGCCTTCTTGTAGTTCTCGTCCATGCCAGTGGCGAAGCATTGTTCAACCGAGCTTACTTCGAGGAGCTTGTGTTTCTGGAAGTAACTCATACACTCTTGCGCCATATTAAGATGCAGTGTATAAGCATCTCTTCCCTTTTGAAACTCTGTCAGACCCGCCAGCATGTCCTTGATAGTGTTCACGTTCGCTTTGTTATTGCTGCAGCGCCGTTAGTAAGGGGTCGAAACGATCAAATGTGCCGTCACTCACTCTTCCGCAAACTGAGGGTTCGCAGCTCGGAACTTGGCAAAGTCTTCACCCAGCTTGCCGAGCACGTCCTTCATATGCATGTGGCGATACTCCACCCACACGTTGTCTTCTTCGTTGATCTCCATATCCTTGAGCTCCTCGTTGTGGCTTCCCTCGTTGATGACGGTCTTATACGTGACCTTGTCGCCATCGCTGATAGGAAGCAGATCGTGCACCATGGACTGATACGTAAACTCATGTAGCAGGGGCGCGATCAGGTCCATGGACCGATCCACGATCAACAGCACTCCGCGCGGTCTGGGGGACGGGGGCGGAAAGTCGCGCTGGAATTGCGCAAACTGGTCCAGCTCATTCTGGATGAACCGCGCCAAATGTGAACACAGTACGCTGGCCTCGTGTGTCGGGGCCCGGGGGCGGTAGTACCGGATCACTGGGTATTCTCCTAAGCTCGCACAAAGCGACACAATCTGTCCCGTCAATACCAGCTCAATCTGCACAGGTATCCTAGCTCACCTTCTGTGCCAACCCCTCCAAGTGCGCGCGGATCAGATGATTACAACCAGGGTGGAACAACACCGGAAAGCTCCACGGATCTCGAAAGGTAATCAGGCGCGATTCCCTGGGGAAGTAGTCGGCATTCATGATCTGAACATTGGCAATCTGGTCGCGAGCCAGCTGGGAACGGTCCAATCTAGCGCGCTGCTCCGGATCGAGAACTGCGAGCGACGTCAGCACCAAGCGGCCATTGAGGAAGCAGGCGCCCGACATGATGTCCAAACCAACCACGCTTTCCGGTATCTCTTCCTCTCAAAATCCGCCATAATACAGTCGACAATGTGTGGAAGGGGCGAGAGGATATACAGCGCATCCATCGTAGGATTGGGGGAGCGCCGATGCTCGATCTGTTCAACATCTTGCGGGAGGCCATTAGCGCCGCACCGGGACGACGAGGAATAAACCGAGGGGAACTTACTGGTGACATTGAGGTTGAGAATATCATCCTCACTGACAGCATTGTCGATTAGCTTGCGACTGGTCTCGTCCACCACCAAAACCTTCCACTGTAGACAAAAACGTTAGTTCTGCGGCGGGGTGAAACGAGGCGGGGGCCAAATCCACGGTAAAGGAGAAGGGGAGGGGAAGCAATCGCACCTCATTACCCGCCGCATAACGGATCGTGTTCAAAATTACTAGCGGGTAAGTAGTTAATACTTGAATAGCTTATATGTATAAGAAAGATAAAGTACTCACGATCACGCTGGATGTTGAGGATTGAGGTGCTCATTGTGGCTGACCGGCAGCCCTCACGGGGGCATAGACACTAGACTTCACGATTGCTGGGGAGGGGAATGACGGGGGAGCGGTCGGGAGGGAACCGGAAGATAAGGCACAGCCAGAGCCAGCAATGGAGGGGGGGAAGCAATGGAGAATAATACTCAGGGGCAGCCGAGATGGACACCAGCGATGCGGGCAGGCTTTCTTTTTGAAACGTAAGTCGGGACTCAGGATATCCCCGAGACTGGAGACTGAGACAAGAAGAGACCCTCTTTCTGCTCTTCCTCCCCAGCGGGTCAAAAGCATCATTCTTCCTGTCTAATCTCCCGATCCGCCAGGCGGTGTGGCCCCTTCCCTTCCTTTTCCGGTTAGTCGGCGGCGATCGCCAGCTGCAGGCAATGAGGCACCCAGGCACCCAGGCCGCGAGAAAAAGCCGATGGCAAATGATTGCCATCCAGATAGTATCCTTGGTCCTCATCGACTATTCCTCCCTCGCGCGCGGCTGCAGGACGATGTGGTGATTGGTCTCTGACTGGTCAGGGGTTACTTGTATCGTTTCCTTTTGGATTTTTCAAATCAGTCCCTCGTTTCCTTCTTTTCGTGCCTCCAGCAGTTTTAAGTACTTCCCCGATCTCCGCAAAACCCGCTCCGCAGCTTGACAGCAACGGCGATCGTTCGAGCTGACATTGCTCCCGGCACAGCTCGGTGGGATGCAGTCATGGAGTCGCAGAGGCAACTATTGCCTCTTCTGCACCTTCCAGTCGGTGTCACGTCCCGTCAGGACATTTGTGACATCTCCGGTGCTGCAGAGATCCGGGAGGCCTTCCAAGAAACAGCGCCATTTACAAAGCCTTGAAAAGAAAGTCGAGGAAGCTACTGTACATATCCATCGCCCTACCCCACCACTTGCCGATTATTTCTTAGTTTCAAATGGCTGACTTTTGACCTACTTATAGTCTACCAAAAGATCTGCTCCCCCGGCCTACACATCGAGAAGGAACACCCGACAAACGCTTGCAGCCAAAGATTTCGCGGGCGTTGTAACACACGCTTTGAGCATCTACCGGCAAAATCTCACAGATAAAGATGATCCGGCTTTGGCTAATTGGTCCCGGTTTGAACGAACCATGCTGAACGCATGTAAAATGGACGAGCGAAAAAGCGTTGGTCCGTTACGCCATATCAAGGATGCGCTGCATAGATCTTACCTCCAAAATGGTGTTCGCGGTCTGATTAACGAATTGGAGTTCCACATGTACGCAGAGGATGTCACGTCGAGATACTCAGCCCCCAATCTCGAAGCACAGAAGAAAGTGGCGGATTTGCGACGCCCGGCCGAGTGGTATCCACAAGCTCGCGCTTTGCAGCGAACAATTCATCTGCACGTGGGACCGACCAATTCGGGAAAGACGTATCACGCGCTCAAGCGTTTGGAAGCATCGAAGCGCGGCTTTTACGCTGGGCCCTTGAGGTTGCTGGCACAGGAGGTTTTTCATCGCTTCCAAGCGAATGGAACCTCCTGCAGCCTCATCACTGGTGACGATGTCAAGATCCCGGAAGATGGAAAGCCCTCCAGAATTGTTAGCAACACCGTTGAGATGGTTAGCTTGGGAGACCAATATGAGGTCGGTGTTGTTGACGAGATCCAAATGATTGCAGACCCTCACCGCGGGTGGGCTTGGACTCGTGCCGTGCTCGGTGCGCGTGCCACGGAACTTCATCTCTGCGGTGAAGTCAGAGCTGTGCCCTTGATCAAAGAATTGGCCGCCTTGACTGGCGACAAGCTCGAGATCCATCGGTATGAGCGACTAAATCCGTTGAAAGTTCAGAACCGCAGTCTCAAAGGTGACCTGAAGAATCTTCAAAAGGGAGATTGTTTGGTGTCATTCTCTCGCGTCGGTATCCACGCCTTGAAAGCAGACATTGAGAAGACTACTGGAAAGCGGGCAGCTATCGTCTACGGCAGTCTGCCGGCTGAAATCCGGACCCAGCAAGCCAGTCTGTTCAACGACCCCGACAATGACTACGACTTTCTCGTTGCTAGTGACGCCATCGGTATGGGTTTGAATTTGTGAGTTGCCTTCTACTTATCGTCATTGTATCGTGTCTAATTGTAGCAGGAGCTGCAAGCGCATCATTTTCGAAACGTTGATCAAACGGGTTCCCGGGGGCCTTCAGAGACTTAGCGTGCCTGAGATCAAGCAGATCGGTGGACGCGCTGGACGGTATCGGTCTGCCGCGCAACAGCAGGAGAATGGAAGCAGCTCCGAGGACGACACCAACGTCGGCTATGTGACTTCTTTGGAAGATATTGATTTACCTTATATTCGCGAGGCAATGGAGAGCGAACCCCCACCGCTCGTGTCAGCCGGTATCCTCCCTCCCGACTCGGTCTACCAGAAAGTTGCAGCATACTTCCCGAGCAATGTTCCGCTAGAATACTTGATCAAGCGCTTGATGGTGGTTTCCCAGGTCCACCCGCTGTTTTTCTTGTGTGATCCTCGCAACCAGCTGGAGAACGCCGAGGTCATTGATACTGTCGATGGATTGCGGACGGCAGACCAGCTTACATTCATGGCCTCGCCTATGCACACCAGGCTCATCGCAGGCCGCGACGCTGCCATTGCTTTTATTCAATGCGTCGCAGAGCATTCCGATGGTCGTCTGTTAGACATCCAGGCGCTCAACCTTGAGATCTTGGAAGAGCCGGTGTCCGGTAACAAGGAGTACCTTAACGAGCTAGAGACCTTGCACAAATCGGTCATCTTGTATCTGTGGCTCAGTTACCGGTGTGGCGGAGTTTTCACGGACAGAACATTGGCGTCCCATGTCAAGCAGCTGGTGGAGGAGAGGATGGTTCGAGCATTGACCGAATTTTCGGCCAACAAGAAACTCAGAAAGGATGCCTCTCTTCGACGTCAGATTGCGCTGCAGAAGCAGATTCAGGAGCAGAAACGGCTGCTCGCCGACGCAGATGTTGACTCATATGGCACTGAAGATGAAACTGCCGCCGTTGATCTGTCCGCTGACGAAGAGCAGATGGAAGAGCAGCTGCAAGAGCGGCCTGAAGAGTCTGGAGAAGCTCCCCAAGCGCGCGCTGCATAGATACCATATACGCACATGTAATATACTTTGTTTTGTTGAGATGATCATGTACATAATTCAAAACTCGACTCCAGAAGACGCCACGACGTCCTCTCCATCATTAAGCACATCACACATGGTACGACATGAATACAATTGCATAGACTTGTGATAATACCATATTACTTGCAATTTATCCCTAGAAATACACACTAGTGTTATACTCAGCGTAAGAGTAGATAACTAGAGCTGCTTATCTTATCGGTGGCGGATTTCCCGAAAACGCCACAACGATTTTCCGCGCCAGTGAGCTTTGCCGGTTCCAGAACCGCGGAGAGAAGACGCAGTCCTCACTTTGCGACAAGAGGAGTGTTTTGCACTCTCTCGCGACATCCCCTAACCTTTAGTCCAATCATCCATCTATACCACCTCACATCTCCAGAGCCGAACACAACCACAATACCCTCCATCCGCCATGGACGACCTCCAGTCGCTGGAGCTCTTTTCGCTCGTGTCGCGGATCACGAGCGAAATCCAGAACCATCTCGGCGTCAACGACAAAACATTAGCGGAATTCGTCATCGACCAGCACCTAAAATGCGGCTCATTTGCGGATTTCAGCAAGAGCATGGAGGAGATGGGCGCGGAGTTCCCTCGGAGTTTGCTGGAGAGTATTGATCGTCTGGTGCTCACAATGCATCCGAAGTATAAGTCGAAGAAGATGGAAACGACGAATACCTCGGCCGGTGATGATGATATGGATGTTCTGGATGCGTTAGAGAAGAAAGCGCGTGTGTTCAAGGGATTGGCCGTGCCGGATAAGGTTCAGCAGTGGGATGAGGAGGATGTCGAGGAGGGCGATGCGAAGGCTGATGCTATGGATGATACGTTTGCTATGCTGGAGGGATTGGCGGGTAAAGCACGTCAGGAGAAACCTGCCCCGGCGCTGCAGTCATCGTCAAGAAATGACCGCGGTAGTACTAGGAAGCGCAGCAGAAGCCCCGATTACGATGATCACCGACGTGGACGCAGACGTCATGATAGATACCGGTCTCGATCGCGATCGCACAGTCCTCGATATAGCAGGAAGGGTGGTGATGATGAGGTGGATGAATTTGGCCGGTCAAAGAGTAAATACAGCAGCAGGGATGATTATCGCAATGGACACAGTGAGCGGAAGAGTCGTCGGGACCGCGATGAGGATGGCGAGTATTTCCGGAAACCGCCGCCTGTGGAGTTGGATGATCAGCCGGTGCTATACAAGGTCTACGATGGTCGTGTCACGGGAGTGAAGGACTTTGGCGCCTTTGTGAACTTGCTTGGTGTGAAAGGCAAGGTGGATGGCTTGGTACATGTTTCGGCTATGCAGGAAGGAGCGCGTGTTAATCATCCTTCCGATTTGGTATCTCGCGGCCAGCCGGTTAAGGTCAAGGTGGTTAGCATTCAAGGCTCTCGAATTGGGCTGTCGATGAAGGAGGTGGATCAGGTTACTGGTCTTGATCTGATCCCTCAACGGCGTCTGGCGTCCGGCGCAAATATGGAGCGTCTTGACGGCATGACCGGAAAGGACAGATATGGTAACCTGAGTTCGGAGGTGCCGGTTATTGAAGAGTCGGATGGAAAGCCTATGAAAAATAGGAAGCGCATGACCTCTCCTGAGAGATGGGAGATCAAGCAATTGATTGCATCCGGCGCTGTCTCCGCAGCAGACTATCCTGACATCGATGAGGAATACCATGCCACCCTGACAGGCGAAGGCACGTTTGAGGAAGAGGAGGATGTCGATATTGAAGTCAGGGATGAGGAACCGCCTTTCCTGGCTGGTCAGACTAAGATGTCTCTGGAACTCTCTCCGATTAGGGTCGTGAAGGCTCCCGATGGCTCTATGAACCGGGCTGCGATGGCAGGAACTAATCTGGCCAAGGAGCGACGAGATATCAGGCAGCAGGAAGCTCAGGACAAAGCAGCTGAGCAAGCTGCGGCGGTCGACCTCAACGCGCAGTGGCAGGACCCCATGGTTGCGCCTGAAGAGCGGAAATTCGCAGCTGATCTGCGGAGCACCCAGCAGTCCAAGCCGGACGACTCGGTTCCCGAGTGGAAACGGGTCACGATGGGCAAGAACCAGTCCTTCGGAAAGCGGACCAGCATGTCCATCAAACAGCAGCGTGAAAGTCTGCCTGTCTACAAGTTCCGCAAGCAACTTCTCGATGCTGTACGCGACAATCAGTTGTTGATTGTTGTCGGAGATACTGGGTCCGGAAAGACGACGCAGGTAACGCAGTATCTGGCTGAGGGAGGCTATGCAAACAACGGTATTATCGGTTGTACGCAGCCTCGTCGTGTGGCAGCCATGTCTGTTGCCAAACGTGTGGCTGAAGAAGTCGGCTGTAAACTCGGCGCGGAGGTTGGATACACGATTCGTTTCGAAGATTGCACGAGTCCTGATACCAAGATCAAGTACATGACTGATGGTATGCTTCAAAGAGAAGTCCTTCTTGACCCGGATTTGAAGAAGTACTCTGTTATTATGCTTGACGAAGCTCACGAACGAACCATCGCCACGGATGTTCTCTTCGGATTGCTCAAAAAGACCATCAAGCGAAGACCGGACCTCAGACTCATTGTTACTTCGGCTACCCTGGATGCTGAGAAGTTCTCCGAGTACTTCAACGGTTGCCCTATCTTCTCCATTCCTGGTCGTACGTTCCCTGTCGAGATCATGTACTCGAAGGAGCCCGAGTCCGACTATCTTGATGCGGCTCTCATCACAGTTATGCAAATTCACCTGACGGAGCCCTCGGGTGATATACTGCTCTTCTTGACAGGACAAGAAGAAATCGATACTGCCTGCGAGATTCTATACGAGCGGATGAAGGCTTTAGGGTCAACAGTACCAGAGTTGGTCATTCTTCCTGTCTACTCTGCTCTTCCGAGTGAAATGCAAAGTAGGATTTTTGAGCCTGCGCCGCCAGGAGGTAGGAAGGTTGTCATCGCCACAAACATTGCTGAGACATCCATTACCATCGATAATATCTACTACGTCATCGATCCAGGTTTCGTCAAGCAGAACGCCTACGATCCCAAGCTGGGTATGGACTCTCTGGTAGTCACGCCCATCTCGCAGGCCCAGGCGAAGCAACGTGCTGGCCGTGCAGGAAGAACCGGTCCCGGAAAATGCTTCCGGTTGTACACTGAAGCCGCATACCAGTCGGAGATGTTGCCAACCACGATCCCCGAAATTCAACGTCAGAACCTGTCACACACTATCCTCATGCTCAAGGCGATGGGCATCAACGATTTGCTGCACTTCGACTTCATGGATCCTCCGCCAACGAATACTATGCTTACTGCCTTGGAGGAACTGTATGCACTGTCTGCTTTAGATGACGAGGGTCTCTTGACTCGCTTGGGCAGAAAGATGGCAGACTTCCCCATGGAGCCGGCCCTCGCCAAGGTTCTTATCGCATCGGTCGACATGGGATGCTCGGAGGAGATGCTGAGCATTGTGGCCATGCTTTCCATTCAGTCGGTCTTCTACCGTCCCAAGGAGAAGCAGCAGCAAGCGGATCAGAAGAAGGCCAAGTTCCACGATCCCCATGGCGACCATTTGACCCTTCTCAACGTCTATAACGGATGGAAACACTCCAACTTCAACAATGCCTGGTGCTTCGAGAACTTCATCCAGGCACGTCAGATTCGCCGTGCGCAGGACGTCCGTCAGCAGCTGCTTGGTATCATGGATCGCTACCACCACAAGATCGTCTCTTGCGGAAGAAACACCCTCAAAGTACGCCAGGCACTTTGTACCGGGTTCTTCCGAAATGCAGCTCGCAAGGACCCTCAGGAAGGGTACAAGACTCTTGTCGAGGGCACACCGGTTTACATGCATCCCAGTTCGGCACTGTTTGGCAAACCCTCCGAGCACGTCATCTACCATACTCTTGTTCTTACGACGAAGGAGTACATGCACTGCACAACTTCCATCGAGCCCAAATGGCTTGTTGAGGCCGCTCCGACTTTCTTCAAGGTGGCACCCACCGATCGTCTGTCGAAACGTAAGAAGGCCGAGCGGATTCAGCCTCTCCACAACCGCTTTGCCGGCGAGGATGATTGGCGTCTATCCGCACAGAGACGGCAGGGCCGTGGTGGAGGTGGTGGTACCTGGGGTTGATCTTCGGAATATTCATGGCTACCTATTCCACTCCTCTTGCTTTGGCATTTTTCTTTCCCTTTTCATACCATTCTTCGGGCATATATATGGTAGTTTAAAACATACCCCTTACGAATCTTGATGCGACGCCAGATGGCTCGCTTTTTCCACTCTTGGGCTAGAGATGTATTCTAATGAGATATTTGTGAATGTATCGAATAGACTGATTGTTGCTTACGGATTTGTCCGGTACCTTAAAGATCACGCATCAGTGCTTTGACTCCCAGCAGCCAGCTCATTCTTTCCCTCCCTCTGTTAATAACCCTTAATTCACCCTCACCACATCACATCATAAAACCCGACTCACCCTCTCCCACACCAACACCGGCTTCATCTTCTGCTCCTACCACCACCCCAAACACCATCAGCAACAACCATCACCTCCCAAAGAAAAGATTGCACTCACCATCCCTACCTCGAACAATTTCAACCCGGACAACCTCAACCTCCCCTCCGGAAAAATCATAGCCTCCCGCTTCTGCGACCCCGCGAACTCCGCCGAATATGCCATGTCAACCTCATGGTGTACAACCGGAGCGCCACCAGGCTGCTGCCTTTTATCCCCACCATTATCACATTCACTGCCATTGCTATATTCAATCCAGTACCGGCCCGCGTACATGACGCCGTCATTGGAATTCTCCCACGCCTTCTTGGTAACTTTTGGCAGCACGCTCACGGTCACTTGGCCGTCTGGGGTATAGACGAGGGTGCCGCGTGCGTCCGGGCCCATGGGGTAGTGGGTAGGAGAGTCATCGTCTTGGGGATTGGGGGGCTCGACGGTGTAGGAGATGAGGGTCCAGGCGCCGATAAGGGAGGATTTGGTGATGGGGGTGGGAGACATTGTGGATGCCAGTGGTATAGGGAGTGTTCGTTTTTGGTTTGGGCTGAAGGGTGGTGGTAGGGGTAGTAGATCTACTGGTATGGGGGATGGTTATGGGGTTTAGGGAAGGGGAGGGGACTCAGAGAAATAATAGTTATGATAGACGGTAGCCAATTGCCACTACTTGTGGTATCCGCAATAGACCCCTTGAGAGTTAGGATTCATGCACCAGGTTGGTTTTGGTATACTTCTGGGTGGTAAGTCAGTTCCAGAAAGTAAGGGTGTACGAATCGGGAAGTCAGCGAACAATACTCCGTAGCTACTGGTCTTGAAGATGTGATTAGGTTGTGAGGTTGCAGTGATCTACATTTTTCTTGTGAATGCGTGCAGGGTTGGGGATTAGAATGATGGTAGGTAAGTTCAGTTGTGTTGGTGAAACTGGGTTGAGGATGTGGATGCCTGGTTCTGGGTAAATTGATGGGGTTGTCTGAGCTGAATATATAGTTTGGACGTTCGAAGTTCCTTGGTTCATTAAGTGGTGAGTGGGTGTGGACCGCCAACTACACTAGCTTCTTCAAGAGTGCTTCTATGTTATAGAACAAATGATGAGCATAGGGTTGGTTTCCAAGAAATTTATTAAGATGAACGGAATGAACAGCAATTAATCGTTGGTTGAGCCTAAACCGGATGATATGGATGGCAAAAAGCGAAAGGGCAAAAAATGCTTCCACGCGGATTCGAACCGCGGACCTCATGATTACTAGTCATGCGCTCTACCAACTGAGCCATAGAAGCTGGTTGATGTATTGCTCTTTTACCCTTGGGTATAACAATGCGTAACATGATTAACGGACAGATGAAAAGTGGCTCGGCAGTTACACCGTCATGGATGGAACAATCGTGATATTAAGACTTATACCAGGAGTGTTGGAACCGTGTTTCCCACAGATTCCTGGAAGCATAAGACCCTGCTAGCCTCTTTCATTACTAGTGAGTCGTCTCCAAGTGTTAATCTGAATCGTCGTGCTGTCTGGACCAGACCCTGATCCGACCAATGGGAGGCCAGATTCATCCACAGCAGTGGATCAATTCATCTGCGCAGGACTTTCCAGAAGTCTACCGGCAAGCCTCTTGTCGCAACGTCTTCTTCCACTAACGTTTATCTTTCTTCTATAATATATATTTACCCTATTCTCTAAGAATACTTTTGCTTACTGGACAGTCTTGTCCATTTTAAGTTCGCCGTAGTGGCACTAATCAAAGGCCAATTCAGAAGTCGCAAAACTCTGAAGGTCTGAATCGGGCGAAGTTCCTGCCGGCCTACTACTAATCCTCGTCGAGGTCCAGTCCCCGGCCTTTTGCATAACACGAGCATCTGCATTAGCTCAAAATGTCTTCCCACGAGGGCCAGCTCCGCAACAAGAGGAGAAAGCTGGACAATGGCCAGGATGTCGATGCTACTGCCACCATATCTTCGCACACGCAGCTTCGCTCTTCCTTGGCTTTTCAACAGAATCCTAATGAATCCAAGCAAGGTAAGTAACACCTTTTAAAAGCCATCCACGATGCTCCAATACTCATTAAAACAGGTATAAGAAAGTTCAAGGACTTTCTCACGTCCATTGGGCAGTCTGAGGATGAGGCTGAAAAGGCCAGAAAGTTCCGCATCCTCAAAGCATACTGTGATTCGCAATTCTCACGTGTAAACGAGAACGAAGCGGTCTGCTTCACCGATCTGGTCCAGACCTGGGGCTTTGCGGATAGCAACAACAACGAGTCGTTACTGACTGTTGTGCCATCTGTCCTAGCTCAGTTTCTCAAGACGGTGTCTAGTAATCTGGACTTTCGGGATTTCGGAGTGGCACTATGCAAGTACCTCCTTCAGAAAGAACAGCTGAGACTGTTCAATCGTGGCTTGACAGCTCTCAAATCAAAAGAGCATTTGATTTCTCCCTGTCTCCGTCTCCTCACGGAGATGGTCAGCTTCGATGGTGGAGCTGTTGCGCGCCACGTCCATGCCGCGCGGTATATCACATTCAAGCGCATCGAAGTCTTTCTTACCCCAAACAAAGCTCAGCTGGAAGAAATATCGGAGGAAAGTTCCAAACCTACACTGCGCAGGAATGCTCAGAAATACGTCCTTGCAAACCTGCGATTCTTGCAATCAAATGGGAAGAGTGATATCATCGAACAACATAAAGTTATTAGAGCGTTCTTTGAGTACATTAGGAAAGACGCGAGAGATATCGTTCTGGAGACTATCAGGTGTATTGACAAAGACATTATTCAAGATGCTTCGATTTCTCGCATCGCAAAAAGCAAGTTCTTCAATCGATGGAACCTGGAGCGACTCGTCACACTCTACGGCTACGACCGTGAGTCAGAGGAGCCCAATCCGGCGAATGTTTCCACTACAGACGAAATCCACAAGATTTTGATGAACGTCTGTACGAACACCGAACTTGGAGTCTTGCTTCCAGAGTCTGGTTGGTACCCCCATGGAAGTGATCCTGAGGCGCTTCCCACGGATGATGAGACGTTGATTGATCTGGGACTCGATTCTGCTCTTCATGTCGACAAGTACAGCCAGTCTGTACCTGTTCGCAATGGAACATTGTCCTATCTGATCCAGACCCTTCGTCCGGATACCGACAGTCTCCAGATTGAGCTGTTAGTGGCCATTTTCAAGGCGGCCCCGGAGCTAGTTGCCGATTTCTTCACGAAGAAAAGCATGTTTACTGCGGACCCGAAGCCGACACCATCCTGGATGGCTGAGTCTGCGCTTCTCTTCTCCTCCGTACAGCTACCCGTGCCTGTGAACTGTGGTTGGAAAGACAAGTTACCTCCGACACCTCCGCCCGTTTCCGTGGTCATTGAGAATGTACTTCCCCGCCCTCTGACTCAGAAGATACTTACCCGCTGCTTGAACATGAATGCTGAGATCGTAACATTGTTTGCCGTCCGAATCCTTACAATTGCTTTCAACAAACTGCGGGCTGTTCTGAAGATCTTCAACGGCGATCATGGGGTCAGTCAACCCTTGTGGACACAGGCGGCAAGCAAGCTGGTTGCTGAGTTTAGTCGCCGGTGCCCTGGAGTAAAGGAAGTCATTCTGCTCTTCAAGCGAACGGACAAGGAGGACTTCCAGCAGCAGGATGCTGTCTCAGAGCTTCTCGCTTCGTTTTACGAGGTAGTACCAGACGCCGCGTTCGAGGAAGGACTCGACGTGTCACTCATTTTGGTTGATGTGTTGAAGCGATTGGATGAAGGAAAGCTGGACGAGGATGATACCGAGTCAGTGCTGAGCCAACTGCAAAACATCATGAGGATTGTACAACAGTCTACTTCTATGCGTTGGTGGCAACAACCAGGGTCTATGCAGTATTCTGCTTTTACGTCAATCCTAAAGGTGCTGGTGGAAACAGCATCAAGATACTCCCTGCGTGAGATCGACCAGCTGCTGCGGACGGTCCTCACCGAGTACTCTGTCCTGCAGAACCCCTCCTCGTTTCCTGCGATTCTTTCTAGCTTCGAAATTTCAGACTCGGAGAAACTCCAGCGCCAACTATCGTTCTTTGATAATTGCGCCTGTCGTATTGCAAAGAAACCGGTTCACTATCAAGACCTCGTTGACTCCTTGTTTGAGGGCTTTTCCAGCCCGGTTAGCCCTCTGGTAGCTGCAGTAATCGAACAGTGGCCATTCGTTGTCAAGTCTGGAGACCCAGCTGTCGAGAGTGCGGTGGTTGCTTGGATTGCTCAAACGCTAGGAAGCTTGAAGCGCGCCGGAGAAAACGCTAAGGCACTGAAAAGTGCCCGAGACAAGCTGGTGGAGAGTGCCGAGAATAAGAAGTCGAAGTCGGCTTTCAAGAAAGCATTGAAAGATATTGAAGATGCTGAGGAAGACCATGAGATGGACATTGATGCTCCATCCCAAGACACTACAACTACCGCCAAAAAGGAAGAGGTAGACTTGGAGGAGGTTTTTGGAACCTTACCGACAGAAAGTACCACCCACAACGAGCTGCACCGATGGGAGAAGGAAGACATCGAAGTGGCGGTTGAGCAAGGCCGGATAGCTGAACTGGTTCTCTGCTTGTGTTCGGCATACGAGGAAGTGAGGAAGCAAGCATTCACGAGTATTATTCGTTTCATGGGTAAACTCAAGGTAGGTAAACCGTTGAGCCGGCCCTTTTCTGTGAATTCAGAGTAGAACGATAAGCTAATATACCTGCAGGAATCTAAATATGTGGAATGGCGATCAGTATACATCCTTACAGGAGAGCTTCTTGAGACTGTCAAGCAGATTGGGCTTGATTCGCCCGTACCGTGGATTGTAGGGGAGTGCGCGTCCAGTTGCCTGACTGTTCTCACGGACCCGATGCACAAAATGTACGGAAAGGTCAACAAGTTCCTGCAGAAAGCTCCTTCCTGGGAGGTGGAGAAGATCCCATCCTATTGGATTGACAAAATCCTACTGCATGAACCAGAGCTTGATGACGGCTATTTCGACGAGACTAGCTGGCTTCTTGATTTACTCATCAAGGGTCTTCGCACTGAAGCTGTAGGTTACCGTCATCCCTTTCTTACATTTACATGTAACTTATTCACAATACAGGATATGGATATTTACCGCCGTGCGAACGTCTTCGAGAGAGCGCTCTCATTCTACGAGTCGCCCTCGGCAGGCTACTCTGCCAAGAGAAAGATCTTGCAATTAGTGTACCGTGCGACTCAAGTGCAAGGAAGCACAACGCTCGTCACTAGGGCGGGTATTCTCAGCTGGATCCAGGGTCAGATTCCGGCTGTCAAGGGCAAAGAGACGTCGACTCTTGCGGCCATTGCCGATTCCTTGAAGCAAACATCGGATAATGATCGGGTTTCGAAGTGGAGTGGAGGAGCCGCTTTGCAAGTGGTCGAGAACATCGTGGGCTAGCGTCCGGTCGTAGGAGATGGGACATGGACGAAGCTGCCCTAATTCTAGGTACTTGGCTGCGAAGTAATTGGCGTCTGATTCAGGCGTATATAACAATCCGTAATGATTTGTTTAGTCAGTCGTGGATGGAATATGAAATCTGATAGGTTAATCTGATCTTGCATTGTAGCCAAGTACATACTGGCCTCATCTCTGCGCCATTGAAAGACAGGCTATTTTAAGAGATGGGACGTATTATATGATCTATCCCAAGTGATGCCTTAACTACATAAGGATTCTGCTCTGCGTTGGGGGTGGTTGCTGGCGGTACCGAGGGTTGAGTTGCTCCGGGAACATAGACGACTGATTTCGCAGTGAATGACGGCCAGGGGAAGAATAATTACTATAGGAATAGTAAACAGTCACTGAAGCCTCTGCGTGGGAAGGTGATTATTGTAAAGCAGCCAGAAGGAGAATCCCGACAGATAAGAAATGGGGGGAAAAAGTGAAGAAGAACGAGGCGACAAGCTGACAGGCGACCTTCCCCATTGGGCAGTGCACACGTTTTGAACTTCGTTGCGGTCCGGCGGTCCTCGACATCTTTGCCCGCAACTTCGCCCAAACTCCCCTTCCCCTTCACCACCTCTTCTGCTTGCCCCCTTTCTGTTGTTCCCCACCAGCTTTGTCCTCCTTCCACTTACTCTACTGTCTATCGATCTATCCGAGACCAGTTGGGATTCCCTCTACACAGGCAAATCAGGCCACCCGGTTTGTTGCACCGCTGGTGCCCCTCATCTGCTTCCCAACGAGCGCTCCTGGACCTTTGACCGATCGAAGCTCCTCTCTCCTCCGCCTTTTCCCTTGCCACTGGCAAGCGGCTTCGCTTCCTGCTGCCCACTCATCATCCTACCTCTACCCAGTACACAGTACACACCTCTTACAGCCACAGCCTAGCCTCGGTGTCTTGCAGTCTGCCTTACTCACCTTCTTTCCTTTTCCTGTCCCGCGATAAATTCCACTCCACCTTTTCTCATCCTTGAACTGTCGGCAACCAATGAGATCGACGTAACGGCATACCGATAGCATCCCACACACCCACCTTACCCAAGCCATCCTCATGGCGCGACGGTACCAGATCGATGAGCTGCTATGGCTGCGGTCGTCGCCTCTGGTCACAAAGCCTACCAATTTACCGCCGGTAGAAGAATGGATGGGGTAAGTTCAACGTGCCTGCTCCTTTGCCTTATCAATCAATTGCGATATCCCGAAACTGATGCAGTCATTTCTTCGAGCTAGCCCAATCCCCGATCCAGCTACCCAACGGAAAGCTACAAACTCTCGAGACCCCAATAACCCCCATGAAACGACTCCCAGAAGGCCCAGTCTGTTTGAAACTCGTCATGGGTCCCGGAATTCCAATTCAGGTAATAACCATCACACTTTTGCTTCTCACACGATGTTGAATACCCCTATATCCATTATTCTCTTTTCTTGGATTGAAACCTCGAGGTCCTTACTGATGCATGACGTCGTCGATCACCTATAGAGGACATCATTCTCGGACCCCCCAAAACTGCTTTTGCTTCGGCATCTCGTATACCCGGTAAAGGATCGATAGATGCTACCGAACGATCGTCAAGGCCTAATGACCAAGATGAATCGAAGAACGACCGGTTCAATTTACGGGAGAAGTTCTTCAAGGACCGGGAGACTGGTGACAGAGACTTTGACCGACGAGATGGAAAATTAGGGACATTCAACAACAACAACACCAACAACAACAATCGGCGTGGGGACAGGGAGGATTGGAACAGTGGACGCCCCCGCCGTACGTTCGGCCCCGAAGAACAGGATCGAAAGCCGAGACGCAACGGGGAGTTCGATCGGTGGGAGAACCGCGATCAGCGAGAACCCAACAATGACCGAGGAGTTAGAGACAAGGATGCACGATTCTTCCCACGGAAGGACGGCACACCCGGACGTGCTAGACACGAGGGAAGTTGGTTTCGTGATGAGAATACTCACGACGCACCTGAAGCGGAAGAGGAGAAGACTCCGATACGAAACAGAGAATGGCGTCGAGATCGGCACGGTGCAGATCGTGACTGGACGCGGGGAGCCAAGTTCGAACAGGATCCCGAGTGGATGGATTCGACTGATCGAGATGAGCCTCGCCGAGTGCATACACAGGAAGACTTTGAACGCTGGAAGGAAAGGATGAAGGCTGGCTCCTCGCAGGTTCAAGCCGAGGAAAAGGAGGTCCCCTTGGAGACGACCCCTGCACCTGCCCCCGCGCCGAAGCCAGAGCCTAGGCCTACAGATGGTGAGATTTTCAGCAGCAATGGTGCTCCCTTCACGTCAGATTCGGCCATGGAGCGGTTCTTTGGATTGCTCGGGGATTCCAAGCCACCCCAGGCGCCTCCCCTACCTCAGGAGATAAGCGCTCCTCCTCCCATGATGGAACCGACAATGAAGAAAGAGCCACTCCCAGGAAAGCTTGGAAAGTCGTCGCGTTTTGCTGGACTTTTCTCGCCACCACCGGGAAGCCCGGCCAAGGAACCAGAGTCTCATCCAGAGACCAGGTCGTCGCCTTCGATGAACACCGTCAACACTGATGCCGATCAGGAAGGTTTCCAGCGTATCCTGCAGATGCTTGGCGGAGGGAAATCGCGCAACGCTACACCTCACAATGACCCTGTTGCATACAACCGGCCTCCTTCGCAGGTACAGGCCGAACAGATCCGGAGTGCTGTTTCATCTCCTGCTCGAGATCAAATCAAGCGGCAGGAGTACCTGGCCATGCAAGAGACAGTTGCTCGAGGCGCTGGGCCTAATCCTTATGTCCAGGAGACACATGCTCGAGACCGGGAACATCTACTGCGACTGATGCAGCAGGTCCGTGTTAGTCCCGTTGCCAACCAGGGTGCCCAGAGCCAGCCCCAGAGTGCTGGCCCTGTCGGCCCGGCCCCCGGTTTGTTGAGCATGCCGGAAGTTCTTTCTCCCCCTCCAGGCATTCCGACCCCGCAAAAGGGCCCCAACTTCTTGGATGACCCTGCGATAGCAAACATGCAGAGACCCGATGCTGATCATCTTCGTCGCCGGCCCGCAAATGGGCCGCCCATGGGATATTTCGAGGATATGCCGTTCCCTCAGGGCGGGCAACTCCCTATGACGCCCGGCGGAACCAGAGCTCCCCAGGCTCAAGGTCATCCGCCTATGGGCATGCAGAGACCCCCAGGCTTCGAGCATCTGCCTCCCCCTGGATGGCCAGGACCTCAAATGCCCCCACAGCAAGCTGCTGGACCCGCGCCACTGGCACCTCCTCCGGGTATTCCGACACCTACGCGCGGCGTCAACCCAAGCTACATGGCGAACATGATGCCCATGCATGGGAATGCACCACCCCTCAACGAGCGTGAACCCTTCCCGCGTCCCCCTCCTCCAGGCATGATGCCTCCTCCAGGCTACATGAACGGACCCCCGCCAGCCGGTTTCCCACCCATGCCGCCCAACGGTGAGGCTCTCATGGGGCTTCCCCACCGTGGTCAAGGTCCTTTTGAGGGCAATCCTGGACCACAAGTGCCTCCCCCTTCCGCTCGGCACCTGTTGGATATGTTCGGCCAAGTTGGCGGCGAGGCCCCGCGCGGCATGCTCGGGCCTGGACAGTTCCGGTAGGGAGTGCGCGAAGTCCGGGGTGGTTAGTACAGTGTCCTAGGGAGACGAATGCAAGGAGAATGCGCAAACGCCATATGAGATATGTCCTTGATCTTCTCATACTTATGTCTTTGTTACGCCAGAACAATGCACCTTCTAATCTTCTTGTATCTGATTCATTTATGTGTGTGTATTTGGTGCATGACAAAGGGCTAGTTTGAAGGAGTTCAGGAGAGACCTAGCCAGCTGCTAAGGCTTGGGACTGATGAGGAGACTGTATCACAGCCGGACTCGTTTGCGTCTGGATGTATAACAACCCTGGGGGATTACATAAAGGACAGCAATAGGCAGATTGCCGATACTGAGATGTATCTCGGAGATACGATCTAAAGCCATTGTATTGCAGACCTGAACTACTAGCTGACATCATGGCTTCAATGAAACCTATTGCTTGAACTGTGCTTTAACTGTAGATGTGTGTAGGCTATATTTGGCACAGGTGCCTGAGGCGAAGTGACTGTAGTGAATGGCCGGTGGACTCCGAGCTGCGCACGTTTAAGCCATCTCGCTTCCCTCTCCTATTTCCTACTTCCTACTTCCACCCTTTACATCTGCTTGAAGAATCAGCTACACTGAGTCTGACCGCAGATGTTCGACATCAACTCCTCATCTGGATCAAGATACATCATCCCAAACCCCAAGTAAGTAGTATCTTTTGAGGAGCAGTCTCCCACACACAGTTAATGATAATGGCGATGATGGATGGCACACACCAACGCGTGAATAATCCATCTTATTGTCTTTTACTCAGGAATCACTCTGACAGCTGGTCTTACAAGACAACCGGCCTTTGCTGACCCGTTCATCCTCCATACAGCTTAGCCGAACTCATCATTTAGATAAACTGAATTCCATCCCAACACAATGACCAAAATCATCGACGACAACATGGACCAAGATACGAGTGTAAGTACAAGTCCAGATCAATCCAGATCCCACCATGCCTCATTCTACATCACCTCCCTCACCATCCCCCACACAAAACACATCTAACCACCATCATCCCCAATCTATCCAGACCACAACCGCCATGATCACAACCACCACTCGTAAAAGACGAGCAGCCTGTGATAATGACAATGGTGACTCCAAAAATACCTCACCAGGCACTCTCATCAACACCACTCCCAACGCAACCAACAATGAAACAGGCCATCAACCCTTCAAACGCCCTCGTATCCCCTCCCAATTTACCAGACAAGCCGAGCGTTTCGAAGAAGCCCTGAACAAAGAGATCCAAGAACAGGAAGATGCTCTCCGCATGAACGAGTACCGGATGCTTGCGGTGCGGGCTTTGGAAAACGAGGCGCATGATAGAGCGTTTAGAGATGCTATGGACATGAGCTCAACTTATCAGCAACAACAGCAGCAGTATACCCCCTCACCACATCCCCCTGTTGCTGTTGCTGCTTCTGAGGATATGGACATGGATGTCGATGGTGATGATTATCACAACCCTCAACATGAGGATCATCACGGAACTGGAGAAGGAGAAGGACAAATGGTGGTAAGTTCCAACCTCGGCAACGAATAATTCGTCTCCTGTTCGTGGTGGGGTATGAACAGCATCATTCTCACCATCACTCTACTCATCAGTATCGTCATCACCAGGCACCTACAGTCCAGTATACAGAAGGAGATACCGAACCAATCATAACGACCCGAAGCGGCTGCCTAACCAGCATCATCGGGATGAACAACATAAACCCCATCACCAGACATAGATCTAACCAACACCAACACAATAACAATAACAACCACAGTACCCTTACCGAATTCACCATCTACGAAGACCTTTCCCCCGACCCAGGAGGCCTATTATCCTTCCCTACACAACCAAATCCAGTAGGCCAACTGCAGCCTGATTACCATCATTATCACTACAACAATCATCATAATAACCAAGAAGTACGTGCCTATCATCAAGACTGGGACTCGGATAAAGAGAACATCAACAACAACATTGTTGCTGGGCCCCTCCACGATCCGGTTGGAATGATCACTGAGACTGAGGCTGAGAGTTTTTCGCAGGTTGTTGATCATTCATATCATAATGCTGATAATGTTGCTGACGAGGTTGATGATGAGATGAGAATGGATTATGAAGCAGGTGGTAGCGGTGGTGAAAGTGGAAGATGGAGTTCCGGGGTCCCTCCTTGGAGAGTCGAGTCGGAGTCAGAGTATGCTGATACGGAGGTGGATCCTGATGAGGCGGGACTGGGGCTGCAGGACTACGCGCATCGGAGAAGAAGACGGTATCATCGCTTGAGATGGCAGTCGCGGGTGCTGGGTTCTCAGGATAGGGGGTCGGTGGCGTCAAATAGTAGTGTGCTGGTGCCGAGAGTGCTTGGGGAGGGTTTGCAGGATGGTGCTGGTGCTGGTGGTGCTGGTGCTGGGCGTGGAAGGCGCGGGTCGAGAAGGTTGTAGGTGTATGCAGTGGATTGGGGAAAGTCAGGTGTGTGGATAAGGAGACTAAGTTTATTGTGTGCTGGGTTGATGGGGGTTCAATTCGTCTACGTCGGTAATTCATTGAACTGTGGGTGTATGTTTCGATAGGGAAGAGTCGAAATCTCAAGTAGCAATGTATTTCCTCCTAAAACTAGAGTAACTTAAAGGAATTGTGCCATCCTGGCTGCGCTCGTAAATTTTGATATCACTGAGACCATTTTCAGTAACAGCCAGTGCTAATGGCATACCCAACTAAACCGCAAAACGTGACTGAGTTCAAAATGAAAAGCAAAAGAAGAAAACCAGATCCTCCAAGTCCGCCGGGGTTTCCTCGATCATATTTGCTGGGCATGAAACTAGCAATTCCATAAATCAAAGCAGCATGCAAAACGGAAAGAACTAACTCATTTAATCTGCAGCATATGGGCGTCGCTTGTCATAAGGGATTTCGTTCAAAAAACCCCAAAAGTCGGTCGGAATCCAGCCCCAATCCTAATGTCCCTTGACGCTGTCTTGGCCTTGAGGTGAAGCACTCCTCTAGGGTCCTTCTCGACATCTGCGAACATTCGAAGGAGGTCCTCAATGGTGTCCCGCCCCGCTAGGGCTCTTTCGCCCATTGCTCCGGTTATAATAGCCGTCTTATGCGTCTGCAAATTGAGCAGGTAGTCGTCAATAGAGTTCTCGATGATAAGCTTCACAAATTCCACCTCGCTTTCTTGCCCAATTCGGAACAAGCGGCAAAAGGCCTGAAATGGGAGTGTTAACAGCTGCACCAAAGTCCTATTAGGTAGTGATATCGGACAGAAGTATACATACCTGCTCCTGAATAGCTTCGTTCCACCACAAGTCAACAAGAATGCACTTGTTGGCGGCTGATAGATCTAGTCCTGTGCCCCCGGCCTTCAGACTGGCGATCATTATTCTCTTTTCGCTATCTTTATCACTGAACAACGTCATATTATTTTCGCGAACTGCTAGACTCAGTTTCCCAGTCAACTATAGAATATTAGCCAACCTGAGTCTTGGGCATACTCGAGGACTTTTCTGCTCACTAAAACGTATGGCCAGTTTTCTGCTTGGCACATAGTAGCCAGTATTTGGACGAAATCTAAAAACTGGGTGAATATGACTATCTTGCCCGGGGAATCCTGTGCAAGCCACTCGGTAAGAATCTCGCGTATCTTTGTGAGTTTAGCACTGGGCATATGCCGAGCACATGCCTTAATCCAGTCCGTATCCTCGTCAGCATCTGGCTCTTCGTCGGATTCCTCGATTTGTGGTGCGGTGACTCGGCGCATACTGCTCCTGGCTTGCTTCTTCGTGGTGGTTGTCTTTTTGCCCTGCTTTTTCTTCCGGTTAACGGCCCCCAGAGTCGTTGCAGGTCGCGTCTTTTCGTCACCATCTTCCTTGAAATAAGCGGCCTCCATGATTGGAACCCGGCAGCTGACGCAATTAGGCTCCATGAGCATTTTGTCCTTGTCCATCCGTAAGGAGTAGTAACACTCCTCACAATATAGATGCCTGCACGAAGTTATTACCGGATTCACTGGAACAAAATCGCATTGGGGGCAATTAGTTCTTGCTAGTCTTTCTTCCCAAATCTCTGTATCATGGAGCTCGTCCATTAACTGACGGAAATTTTGCATCAACGCCGTCTCGTCCCCATGAAGCTCTGTGGCATACTGGAATGTGTCTTCGTTCTCACGCTCATCAAGCACTGTTGTGTTTCTTCGCACCGAGACGAGCCATTTCACTATAGTAAAGGATGGATCTCGATCCCCGCTTTGCTTGGCGAGCCTTGAAAGCCTCTTCATGAGGTTCCCCTCTGACAGCAGCCTCTTGACTATGCACTGCGTCGTAAGCAGGTGACTGCAAAACATACGAAGCATCAGGATCATTGACAGAAAGCATCGATACTGCGCTAGTTTGGGCTGTTCGAGATGTGCACAGCCTAATATGCTGTCAGTGACCTTTCTCTAACACTCCTTAATATGGCGCGAGGTGTGTTTGGCGCACCATTGATGTTTTCTATAAAAACCTCTGATATTGCGTTGTAAAGCTCTCGTTCGACGGCACAAAATGCCACCCTAACGATTCTTTCGTTGACATCGGGTAGCTTGATTACTGGTAAGGAGAAAAGCCGACTTTTGTGTGTCCGTCGAAACAGAAAAGCTCGCAACAGGTTTACGAGGCGGCCATGGCCGTCGTCATCCTAAAGAAGGGCTGGCTTTAATGGTTGCCTCTGAAAGTCAATGGGGAGTGGCTCACGCTGCAAAAGTTCTTTATAAAGAATCCAGGATCTCTGATGCCAGGGACCCCGAGAAAGTCGAAAAGCGGATAGAATTCTTCTAGATAGCTATGAAAGGTCAGACACTACAACACACTTAAAGCCAGATAACTGCTGGGTATCAACTTTGAGCTTACTTGTGCACTGGGGTTCCGCTTAAAATCCACTTAAAGTGGCCAGTTAGAGAGCGTACAGCAATGGACACCGAGGATAGGTGGTTCTTGATGGTGTGCCCTTCTGCAGAGTGGCAGTCAGTCTAAGCCCCGCGATTGATGCTAAAAGGCCGGTGGGGAGCACAACATACCGTCAAGGATTATCCTATGAAACTTGATCCTATGTAGCGGACCGATCTCATCTTCGTAGGACTGATCCCACCAGGCTGCAAGCTTGTCGTTATCCGCCACGCTATCTGCGACCTTGATTCGTGGATAGGATTTTCTGACTTCATCGTATGTAGTGATTCTGACGACTGCGTAAGTACATCACATGAATATTGAAATAGCTGCCTAGTTTTCATACATAACATCATATCTTACGAGACTCTCTACTGTATCGAGGGTATCCAGGGTCTCAAGTCTCGAATTCGCCTTGTATATAAGGACATCGCCAATTGCTTTCTTTTCGCAGTGCTTGTTGATCTGTGTTTTCCTGTCCAAGTTAGATTACAACTCGTACACACAGTATTGATTGAATTTACCAGTGAGTGACTAGGTGCGATGGAACAACGATGAGGGTAGTCTTGTTAGGGTCCTCCGGATCAGAGGGTTTGCCATCTATGATATTTGCTAGATAAATGTTAGACTTGCCACTTTCTCTTTCTAGGTACACTCACCCAGGGCTTGAATAGTTTTACCGAAGCCCATGATATCACACAGGAGCCCACCAAAAGGCCTCTCTGACGATGATTCGCGTTTACGCTGTTTGAATATTAACCGCAAGTCAATTCATGATCTCGGTGCACATGTTCCTTACCATAAAAGCAGCCCCAAGGACCTTTCAAAGCCTGTCAGCTAGTGTCATGACAACAAGGAAACAGACAGACAGACCTGATAATGGTATAAGCTCGTATTTAGACCCTTGAGCCTCCATCCAGATTTCCCGTCGCTTCTTGGAACGTTTGTGAAGTTGCGAGTAGCTGCAATGATCGACCTCTTGTCAGATTTAGCCTCCTGTTGGTCCGCGCTAGGAAGACTAGCAACGAGATGTGTGAGTGCTTTCATCTTATCTTTATTTTTGAGTTCAGGTATTGCATCTAGTGAAGCATTGGCATGTGCATCAGCGACGATAGTGGAAGAAAGAAGAGCTTCTAGGTATTTTTTGGAACCTAAAGGCCCTCGCTTTCGCTTTTTACTGGGCCCAGGGATTGCATTGTCAGACCCTCTTTCTTTCCGCTTACGAGGTGCTCCTTTTGGCGGCCCCCTTTTCTTCTGCTGCACAAGAACAGCAGCTAAACCGAGTTCCTTGCTCTTTTGCTTTTCGTCTGCTGAAATCCTGTTTTGACGCCGCTTTTTCGGTTGTGGCTTGACAGGGACATCATGAGAGCTTCCGGTCTTTTGCTCGATAGGAACCTGTCGCGAAGTGAATTCATCGGGCTCGTCAATCTCTGGGTCAAAGAGTTCACTCTGGTTTTCCAAGGCTTTTCTCCTTGCCACCCTATTCTTTCGCGCAGATTCCTGTTGCCTTGCTGTTTCCAAGCGTATTTCGTCTGCCACAGATGGCTTCTCCAAACTATCAAACCATTTCTTGATAGAATTGAACCTAGGACAACCAGTTAGACTCAAACCGAGGCTTGATGATAAGATACACTTACTTCCGCTTCGATAGATCAGCCCTGGTACTAGCTTCAAGCTCCTCGTCGGGCCACTCTGTTGGGCAGCTTTGGTCTCCAGCATCATCTGGGAAGTCTTCTACCGGTACGTCAGTGTCCCCGGAAGCTGAAGATGAGGATGATATTATCTCGACACATGTCGGTGCGGACGGCTTTGGATCTTCCTCATTGGCGGCAGGTGCAGCTGTGGTACCTGCATTTCCTGTTTGTGAAGCACTAGCGATCGAGTGGGGTGAATTCTGCAAAAGCTGTTCAATAGGTGGACTTGTATCACCTTCCGAATTAAGCCCCTGAAATAGGTCAAATATGTTCTGATCATCTGGAGACATCGGAGGCACATCTGTTTCAGTAGACAGATGATTCCATGAAAAAGAGACTTCCTGAGGCACAAATAGACTTTCATCAAGCACTGCTTGCGCAGCGGGCGCTTGATCGTCCTGTACAGAAGGAATTGTAGATGGCGCGCTTTCCGTATGCTGGACTGCTGGCAAGCAATTAGTATCATGTGCCAAAGTGATTATAAGCTTTAGGAGGCCTTACGATTGTGGGTGTCAAGGCCCAGACGAGAAAAGAAAAGAGCCTGCCTGGAATTGTCCTGCTGCCTACGGCGATCGATTGCTTCCAAGCGCATCTGATCCGGATCGAGACTTTCGGGTTGGAGGGAGGATTCCTGCTCATCGGGCTCTTGCACGTCTCCAGAGCCAGCTAGCAAGTCCTCTGTGTTCCGTGGCGGCTCCAGTCCCTTGCTGAGGCCTTCCATGTTTGCTTAAATCGTTGCTGACGTACGGGGGGATTCCTGCTTTGAGAGTGCTTGTTATGGAGGTTATAAGAAGAGGAATGGTGATTGGAGAGGAAAGGTCGAACAAGGAACAGCGAAGGCTCTAGAGCAAGAAGAGACGAGAGGAGAGGAGCGAAGAAGAAAGGAAGAGGGCCGGGGGGAGAAGAGGGTTTATATAGAGAGAGAAGAAGGAAGGCGGAAGGGGAAGGAAGAATCGGGCAGGGAAGAGAGGGCTTATACAAAGGTGGGAGAGGCAGGAGAGAGGCGAATGAGGCGAAAGGGAAGAAGATCAGAGACAGTAGGGAGGTGAACAGAAGATGAGAAAGATGAGGAAGCCAAGAGAGATGAGGGGAAGGAAGTATGAGCTCGGGCACACCTCAAAGAGGAGAGATCAATAATAAGATCACAGGCTTCGCCATATGATTGCGTAGAGAAACAAGAGTAATCGAGAAGAGAGAGCGAAGAGAGAGCAAAGCGAAGAACACTCGCTCAGGTTCACGTGGCCGAGATTGGAAGGGAGTTGACGAGAGTCAAACCAGTAAAGCAGGAAACTGTGAGACTGCTCAAACAGCAAGTTAACTAGATAAACCTGGGTGGAGAGTTAATTCGGGGTGCCACAACATAAGCTTGCATACAATTCGATGAAGTAAGGAAGAGTCTGATAGATCATGAGGCGTCATACTCATGTGAGATTAGAAAGATATGCTTAGAACCAATACACTCCAGACCTCACTTCTATAGACACAAACTTCACCCATAAAACATACGTAAGGTCAATATCAAATCGAAGTCAAACAGGGATATCATCACTCATAACCACCAGCTCCTTTAGCAGACCCATTTCAATCATTGCTCAGCGTTTCCTTTTCTGAACCAAAACATTCAATAGACATTACATCTCGTCGATGGCGCAGTTGGGATGCATCACGTAAACAGTGCGTTGAACTTGCTCACTCTGCCCTTCATCATCGGCATCCACAAGGCCTTGCCCGCGAATTGGCATCAGAATGTTATCCTGCAGGAAGTAGTTGATTAGTTATGGGATCGAATATAATGGACAGCGATATGATTGCACATACCTTGATCATTCGCTTCAAGACCTTCACAGCCAAGTCACGCTCATTCTGGAGATCGTCCTCTGTGTCAATCTCGGACTCAATCTGCTCCAGATACCAGATGAGGAGATCCTCTTGCTCGACACCCTCGCCGGAGTTCGCTTCATCGTCCCGCACACGACGGACCATGAGGTTTAGGATCTTCATGTACTTGTCGTATGTGATCTTGGTCCTTGAGCGTTTGGGCTGGGCGGGTTCGGCATCTTCACGCATAGGGCTGTCACCATCACGATCGCCCATTTCATGATCCTCCTCAACAGCAGGACCATCGGCGGCGGCCGGCTCATCATCGTCGACTTCGACATCATCTTTTTCGACCGTCACAATGCTCTGTCGGAGAAGGTCGTACGCCTCGCGCACAAATTTGGGTATAATCTCTTCCACACAATTGGCTTTGGCAACGGCTTCAGAGAGACGGATCAGAGATTCCAGCTGTCGAACCGTGATGCGGTACGAAGAGCGGCCCATGCCACCTTGAGCGTCGCCGGCACGAAGCTCCTTATACTTTTCGACCAGATAAGCCTTCGCCTCCTCCGTGAACACAGGCTTGAAGGTACGAGCGAATCGAATGTAGCGGAGTAATTGCTCGGTGCTGAGCTCAGGGTTCACAGCTTCGTCGCGGTTCATGTGGACATTGACAATGTGATCAGCCAGATTGCGATCCACTGTTTCATTGGGATCATCCCGGATCACGAAGAACAGATCGAAACGACTCATAATGGGGGCGCTAAAGTTAAGGTTGCCGCGCAGTGTAGTCTTAGGGTTGTATCGGCCGCCGATTGGGTTGGCAGCAGCGAGAATAGAAGCCCGAGCATTGAGGGTGGTGTGAATGCCAGCCTTGGCAATGGAGATAGTTTGTTGTTCCATGGCTTCGTGAATGGCAACCTGGTCACTGATGTCCATCTTGTCGAATTCGTCGATACAGCAAATACCACCTCCGTTCTAAAGGATCACAATACGTCAGTTTCGAATGCCAACCAGGTAGATCAGGTAACCTACAGCCAACATCAAGGCACCAGCTTCAATGGTAAATTCGCCCGTCTCAGCGTCCTTGACAACAGATGCGGTCAAACCGGCGGCAGACGAGGCTTTACCACTGGTGTAGACTGCGCGAGGGTGCAACGAGCAGATGTATCTACAGAATGTGTTAGCACGGGCATATCAGGCAATAATGCATAAAAGATGACAAGAAACTCACTTCAAGAATTGACTCTTACTCGTGGAAGGGTCGCCGACAATGCAAATGTTGATGTCACCACGAAGCTGGAGGTTCTCTTGCTCCGTGGACTTGCCGACACCGCCAATCAGCTGCAGCAGCAAACCCTTCTTAATCTGGCGATGACCGTAAATCATGGGGGCGATCGAGTCAATCAATCGCGAGTAGATGTACTCAGAGTGAACAAGGTTCTTCAAGTCCTGGACCTCGTAAGGGGTCAGGCTCTGAAGAAGAGCTTCTTGGGCCTGGTCTTCGTTGGATTCGGGATCCCGGTTTTGGTTGAGCGAAGCCAAGATGTTTTGCGATTGTCCATTCAGCTGCTGGTTGGACTGCTGACCCGGCGTCGTGGTGTCGGGAGTGACCATGCAAGAAAGGAAGGCCAGTCGATAGGTCAAATCCTTGATACCGAGCGCCTTCAGTCCAGTAACGCCACCGCCTCCGATATCACTTCCCCGGAAGGCACCGTCATCACGAACTGCCTCCGGCCGCACGCCAGGAAGCCCTAATTGACTGACATCGGGAACCACGATCAAGGTACCTGTGAAGATACACCGCTCACCGGCTTTCGCGCGATCAACCATTTCACCGCGAAGAATGACATCCATCGTCCGCGGCATGCTGCCAGTTGGGATCTCGTGAGAAGATTCCTGCAGTTTCACCTTCTGCCAGTCCACAAACGTACTCTTGCCGATATCCAAGCGCCAGCCGGAGCGGTTACCGCAGGTGTTGTTCGGACATTGGGAAGGCTCAGTATAACGGAAGGTTTGTTCCACGTTGGTAACGACGGCCTTGCACTCCTCGCAAATGAAGGTTCCCAGTGACAATTCAGGGCGAATTTCAGACGTCCGCGTGACTGTACCAGACACCGAGACCAACTTTCCAATCTGGGATGTGCGCAGCTGGCGCAGTCTGGAAACAAGGGGCAGGTTGTAGAAGGCCAAAGAGAACAGCTTATCCGTCTGCTGATGCCTAGTCTTCTCGCGGATATTGCGCTCCAATTCAGGGTTGTCGGATACACTCGAGTTGCCAGCGATCATCGAAGTGCCGGCTTGGGAAGAAACACTGCCTGCGGCCGTAGCTTGACGGTGGGAGGCGAAGTAGTCTGGCTCATACTTGGCAATAAGGTCATGAAGAGCCTTGGTCAAGAAGGGCTGGAATCGGTAGTATTGGTTGGCAATGGCGTCGGCAAGAATTGGGTTGCTCATGGAGGTCAGGTGGGTGAAATCGACGTAAAGGGTGGACAGTTCCCATTTTGCCATGCCCATGATCTGAGCGATGTAGTATTTTTCACTCAAGACTTGTGACGATGGCGCCGCCTGTGCCGACGAAGGTGTTTCTTCCTGATAGGTTTCGAGAAGCTCTGCGAAAGCCTGCTGTACTTTCTCGCCTGCCACATCGCTTACCGGGGGCGGTCCGGGGAGATAGGGATTGCGCAGTCGAGTAACGGTCGAGGCACTGGAATCGGCAATTTGATCATCGGCAAAGCCATGCATATCACTCATGGGGCCATTGCTTTCGGAAGGCGGTTGGGGTCGTGAACTGGGGATCTGATCGGAGTGAAGACGATGGTCACGGGAGCCCGCCGTGGAGCCCAATTCGGATTGCAGGACGGCGTCAAAGAGGGAAGACATGGTGGTCAGGCGGAGGGCCAAAGGAAGGCCGCTAAAAAGGGTGAGGGGTGCGACTCCGATATATCCCTAGACTGAATTAATTTGAAGACTTGTTCGGTCCCTGGGGTCTGCCTTTTAAGAAAGGGAAAAAGAGAAAGAATGAAAGAATGAAAGAGGAAAGGTGGTTATAGGAAGTAGTGGGGGGGTGGGAGAGAATAATGGACTAAAGGTAGGCAGGCAACGTTGATGTTTTGGTTGCTGCGGTTTCGCTTCGTTTTTTGTCGAGCTTTTGCAATGCGACGCGAATGCAACACGAACGCGTCGGCGGAATAGTTCTTGCGAAATACCGACGCGTAAAGTGCTTTTGTTGAAAAAGACCTTCCCAAAGGGGCAGAATTAGTCTGCTTACATCAGCAGCGTGGGAGGTGCGCACGGAACGCCATGCCAACCCCACCGGGACTAGACTGGTTGCGGGCAAAGGTCCTCGAGCCCACACCGGCCCAACCTGGCCTCACCAAAGCGGATCCCTTCCAAGGGCAGAGGGCGTCGTTCCGCACCCAATAAGCGCCGGCGGAGACACTTTTCCCGGAGCCTGAGCTGACAAGCAGCCAATCACGACATTCCGTCATGTCAAATAAACTTTCGGAGTCGGACTAGCGGGGCCTCTTAGTTGTCCTTGACCCCACCACTAGCACTGACTAACCCGTCCATCCCTAATAAGATGGAACGGACAGGTCGGGGGGTTTGTCGTTAGTCCTTATGCCACGGATAGATAAGCAAACCAACTTGCTGCTCTCTTTAATCACTTGCTCCCTCATTACTTCCTACTGACTGACAACTCCTACTACTCTGACTTGACAGGTGGTCCGAGTTGGTTAGTCCCCATTCTACTAGCCCATTCTGCAATGCCTTCTCCTTGTCCTTCTTAGAAAGCTTCCCGTCCCCATTCGCTGGTGGCTTGTGTGTGTGTGTGTGTTCGTGATCTCACTTCCCCCCCCGAATATGCAGTCTTAACGAGCTCCGCTCTCGTTCCACCCTGTCATCCCGCCCAGCAGTCATTCCCTCCCTCCTCCCCCTCCTGTGTGATTGTAAAAAAAAAAAAAAAACAATAAAAAACAACGGAGAGAGGGGAACAACAAGAAAAAGGATAGAAAAACCGCCATGTCGGCGGATAGACTTCCTTTGGCGGATTCAACACCTCTCGACTCTACCTCAGGCGTACGGGGGACTTCTTCGTCTGAATCAGAACAACAACGTTGGTTTCTTTGCCGCCTTCTCTGTGATCTGACCGTCCAGTCGACGAACTTACCAACACCATTTCCTCAGGAACGTCCAGCGATCCCCCTCAAATTCCTGTGAGGCTTAGACGACGAAGGCACTTGCCTATGTCCGATGATCAATCCTCCAGGAATCAAATCTTCTACTTTGTCGACTCCAATTCCTCGTCCCGCGAAAAACGGGCTCATGTGATGCGTCACCATGTTCAGGAGAAACGCCGACAGAGGAAGTCATCCCACTCCCGGGCGGACGGCGACCGGAGGGGTAGTCGCCCTCTTCGCTACTCCCCATGGCCTCATAAGAGGACAGATGTAGACAATCATGATGATTACGAATCCATTGCCCCTCAGGAGGTTCCCAGCGAAACTTCAGTAAACGGGCATTCCTTGGTACGTCCATCTTTTACCATCTTTACAACACTTTCCCCATTAATTACACAATTGTCTCCACCGCTTCGCCATACTGACCGGACTAATGCTATAGATTCGATTTGGTCTTCCTCCTGTGCAATCCCCACCCGAATCGGTAGATGGATACCAGTCACCTTCACCAGTCACCATGCTTGATGCCTCGAGAAAAGATCCATTCAACTCTCTGCCAGGTGTCTACTCCCGTGATGACCAAGAGCTAGCCGACTACTGGACTAACCGGCTAACCTACTGGTCGGGTCAAAATAAGTATATCAAAGACCTTGTGTTCAAGGCCGCCATGAGTCACCCATTGTGCTTCCAAGCAGTCATCCTCACATACTGCGCTCGCTGGAAAGCCCAGCTCTACAACCTCCAAGACAGCAAGGAAGCTCATTATCATCTCGATAAGGCCGTACAGGGAATCGAAGAAGCAAAGATCGGTTCTGCAGGAGTCGATGAAGATAACCTAGCATTGGCACTAAGCGGCATGTCACTACACGAGGATCGGTTTGGTGACAAGCAAGTCGCTCGGAAATACGAAGACCAGGCGGTTGAAATCCTCCGGTCTCGATCCGGCACGCAAAGTACGGTTGAGGTTTTCATGCATTACGTGCGATACGTGATGATCCCACCACCGATGGAGATGAGCGAAGAGGGGAAGCGCTGGCTCGTCTCTTTTCTTCATGCGGCAGAGCAGCTGATGCACCAGCATAGCACACCTTCTTACTTGGAGTCTGTACCCCAGCGACGGACTGCATTTCAGATGGATAGTCCCTTGTTTCCTCTACTTTCCAGTGGGCCCCGCCCTTCGCAGGTGCCTCAGGATTACCGCATGTATGTTGTGCGCAATGCGCCCACCCAGGAGATTACGAGAACTGCAGCCTTGATCTACATCACCGCGGCGCTGTGGGATCTGGCAGCATCGGAGAACAAAACCGGGCGGTTTCTCAACCACCTCCACCACCTCGTGCGACTGCACAACCTGGACCGGTATCCAGCCTGCGAGACCTTCATCTGGCTGCTCCTGGAAGAAGGCTAGGGAGCGGACCTGAAGGAGTCGGAACGCGGATGGTCCACAGGCGAGCTGCTGAAGATGCACAAACAGCTCCGACCGGACCTTCAATTTCAATACAACGAAATCCTCTTCAGTCTACTCATGCTCCATCCGCCCATTCGAGGAATCGATGCATTTGAGGAAGAACTGCTTGGCCCAATTTGAGCGAGAGCGACGACCAAAATTACTTTTCGAGATACCCCTTTCCCCTGCCGACATTCATCTACTTTTAGCCATTGTTTTCTTTTCTTGGTTTGAAAAGAAGCGTGTGTTGTGTTATGTTGTATTGTGTTCTGTATGTTTGTATATTTCGGGCAGAACAGAAAAAAGTACTGATTAGGTACGAATCCAAAACCCATGATTGTTTTCCGCGACGTGCAGGAACGTCGCAGCAGTCGTACATGAATATTTACTCCGTACTTTCGTGACCTCTTCATTAAAAGTAGTATTTGTAGCTAGCTAGCTAGCTGTCCTTTCTTCCTGCAGCAGAAAACAAAGTCAAAACTGAAGTTAGTGGTGGTAACCCCGCATTTACAACTTCCCAAATGGTTACTTACTGGTTGGTGTCACCTCAGATCGGGTTTTCTAGAACGACCTGTTCCACGGTTCCCAACTTATCCGCGACCAATATCCCTTGCGGGCAATTGGTCATCCATTCACCACTAACTACGGATACTAACTAACTACTAACCACCATCTGCTTACCCTCTCGTGTATCTAGCTACTTTAACTTAGACTGAAGTAGGATAGGATGACTGCCACGTAAGCCGATCTGCATCGGAAACCTCCAACTTAACTAATTTCTACTCGAACCTACCCAATTAAGTAATTTGTACCCATCAGATCATTCCCCTCCTGTAAGAATACGCCTGATAGTAGACAGCTAGATAGATATATCTATCTACTTTGCACACTGCCGCGTAATTAGATCAGCAAAGCAATCACTAACTAGCTAACCACAGCTACCAGAATATCAGTGGATCAAAAAGGGAACTGAACTTACGGTGAGAGATATCATGTCCACTCTGTTACTGTACGTATGAGATCATTCGCGCGCACGGACTTTAAACGATGTGAGCATTCCCATTAATGGATGAGATGAGTAGATAGATAGATTACCTACTTTACTTTGCTTAGTCCGGTGGGTGGGACATGTCACAAATCCTTCCTGTCGGATATAGAATCCGCTGGGTATCGGAGTTGCTTCTTTTGTGTACCTGCTAACGGAGTACAACCACGGGGGTTTTGGTTTGTGGTACTTTTTTACGGTGGGACGCGTCGGTTTTTGGTTCTGGTTTGGGTTTGTTGCTCATTCTCTTGATTATCTTACTTAATGGAATGTTTCTGCACTCTGAATATCCTTGGGTAAATCGAGTCTTGGGGTGGAGAATAGCCTTGTAATAACTGACTGTCAGCTGAGCTGCTTTGGGGCTGATGGTGGCGGCAATTGACCAGTTAATAGTTAATTAGTGCCAGTGCCGCTTAGTAAAGAAACAACATGGCTGGGGGTGCGATGATTAATTCTGTTGAAGAGAGAAGAGGGGGTCTGGAGCTCACGCCACTACTACTCTAAACACAGCACAGGTTCTGTATCCCATAACACTAGAGAAATAAAATAGATTAACACTAGTTAAGTACTTTTGATCGTGATTTCCGCTCTTGGACACAGACACACACACCAGATGCACACGCTACTGCAGGCCGCTGTTTTGGGTCAGGGCATGGCATGCCGTCCGCCCGCCCCGTCCGTCTGTGTGTGTCTCAGGAATTTACTACCTGGGTGGTACTGGTCCGACTTGCAGAAGTACGACCGGCTGGGTTGCTGTGCCGAGATTCTGAGTGGTTAAGCTTATTGCTTACCTTTGGTTGGTCAGGGAGAATTCAGGATGTTTGACTGCGGTGGGTAGGTGAGTGGGTAGTTAATTTATTTGATGATGTTCAGTTAAAGTATCTATTTAAAGTGATATAGAAGATAGCTTATTTCGGGACTGTTGGATATTAGTATGTGCTCGTGGGGTCGGGATTGGTATAGGTGATGCTGGCTGTGCAGAATCGGTATCAGTATCTTCTGGGAGACTTTGTGCCACAAGATGATCCTATGGTAGTATTGTGAGTGGGCGGGATCGCTGCCGGGTTTGAGGTTGTGTAATGTACTTTGTCACTTCTTCATGCAGGCCTTGCATTTTGTGTTTGAGAGAATTAACTGGGATTATACTCCATACATCGGCTTTGCTCTCAGGACAATTTTCTCTTGTATGACAGAAAATAGTCTCTCCGCGATACACGCCCTACACGCCTTCAGTTTGGCGTAAGTCTATCTATCAACGTACCTCTTCAGGGCTTGTACAACAGTCATTTGTCCCAGTATACACATCTTCATAAGGTCCTGTCTCAGATACTAGTCTAGGAAGTGAGGCTAGACCTGGCATAGACCCGTCTCGTATCCCCCCAAAAGCAAAAGCCATGACAAACTAACCTCAAGGATGTTGCCTCAGGAATATGCCATTCTGCTCAGATTCGACAGTTGCTTGCCGCATGATAGGTGCCAATGGCCAGCCCGTGTCCAGCCACATGGTTATTAATCCACGTCCTGTCCTCGGAGCGTTAGAATTAACGAAAGTAATGAACCATAATCTGGCAGAAGTTGATTGATCGGTGATAGATTAAATGGTAGACAACTTAGTAGCATGCTTGCTTGTTTGTCTGTCCAGGCAACGGAATTTCGATTTGCCGCTGGTGTTACTAATTACTACACACTTTACTTCGCGGCAAAGTCTGCTGCTACGCGGGAAATATTCGTCTCCCTTTCTTCAAGCTTCCTCCTGTGTATGATGTGGTGATGCCAATTATAGATACTATCATCATCATCTGCAGAACACACACATAGACAACATCTATTTCGATACGCGTAGTGATGATGAGCAGAGCAGAGGGAGAAAAGCATCGCCTCGCGCAAGTGACAACAACAGACACGCACACATAAATATTCTTCCGCACTGGCGATCAAAAGCAAAGCAAGCAGTGCTTGCATTCAAACACACCGCCGAATTCCAACACTAGACACAGCCGGGTTAGCGTTGACAAATTTTCAACGCGAAAGGGAAAAAAAGGGTTGCCTGGCTAGTGGTTCCAAGGGAAAGTGTGTGATCTGGTACGGGAGATAGTGGCCCCAGCACGAGGCTGAAAGACTGGTTTGATTGCCTGCGGGTCCCATAGGCTTCGATGGGATGAACCTATGATCCGAGATCCAAGGGACGATGCGAAATGAGCCAGTCATGTGGTGCGTATGTACGGATCATAGATGATGAATTTATTGACGGTGAGATCTGGTTTGTGTTTGCTATGGTGTGCGGAGGAGGAGTTTGTGAGGTGACTTACACAGACTTCTAGTCGGACTGTTTATTGTGTAGCACAACCGCATCCCCTCCGTTTCTAGGGAGTAGCATTCCGATAATCTCCCTCTTCTTTTATTTGAACCTGGCCCTTACTACATGCCAGTATAGCACTGCTAAAGAATGATAGATCAGACAGACCATAGACACGATGGCGCAAAATGAAACGGGCGGCCCGTGTCAGAATCTTCGCAAGTGAAACGCATGGCGCCGTGGATACTGTGGCTGGAGACTGGAGAAAGAGAGAGAGAGAGAAAGAGTCGTAAGCCAACCATCGGACAGATCCCGATTCTTGGCTTTCCAACTGTCACGGGTTTGAGGGTGCAGATTGCTTTTACTATTATTATGATCTCATACTCCGTACATTTATTGAAATAGTAATTTGCGTGGAAATTGAGATCACAGGTACATTCTAATTTCATACTGTGACACAATAATATGATAGTTTATTAACTATCCACTATATACTGGCCTCTAGTGAAAGAAATGATTTCATTGCTGCCGTTTGCGTCGGTCGCAAAGGGCTGCCCCTTTCGACACCCACGGAGAAGGCCGTCCCAACCAGCCACTGGAACATGAACCCACCAGCCGGCCGTCTGGGGGGGGAAGAGATTGCGTTCCTCGATTCCTCTCCTGGCCTGAGTTAGGAACTGAGGAACTGAAAGGTTCGGGCAGATTCAAATTTGCCACCTTCGCTACCGGACGAAAAAGTCACTCTATCGACTCAGGATCGACCACCTGGGTAGCAACCCGCATACAGAGGGTTTACGAGGCATTCCAGTGTGAATGTATGGGAGATGCCACTGCAAAAAGCGCGTCGGAACAATACCATACGGTAAGCGAGTTGCGAGTCAGACTAAGAGACACTAGTAATCTGCTAAGGCCGATCTATTGGGACCAACTCATCCACTCTTGCGCCTTATCATCTTCCCTCGTCTGGTCTCTCCAGCCACAGTAACCAAACGGAACCCCCATCGGAAAATTGTTCAGCTTCCTTCCATCCACTATCTATTTCTGCCATTGGCTGTCACCGGGCCACATCAGAAAAGAGGGGAAAGCTTCTCTCGGTGAGAAAACAGAATGGGTGGTTGGGAATTGAATTCTGTCCCGGTCCCGATGGCAAAAGGCAAATAAGAATTCACCTTGGACCAGATATCTGTCTGGCTGGCATGATGCCGCTCATATCATGATGACGAGCAGTGGCTGAAACGGAGTGCGATCGTCGCTTTGCTGTTGATCAGCCCAAAAGTCAAATGCAAATCTAGCATTTGTGCTCCTGATCGGAATTCCCCTTACGCTGGCCCTTCCTTCAATCGTCATCGACTCCTCCACCCACAGGAGTGTGACCCGGGCGACCCAACGATCCCATCTGAGATCCAGAGTTGACCTGCCAGTGGCATCGCCTCTCACTCGTCCTGCGCGGCCCCAAGTGGAGTGGCTTGTTCCCTCGTGGGTGGCACTAGCTTCGAATCCTCTCCATCCCACCAGACTTGACCAAAGCCCGGATGAGCTCCCCTTTTAACTCTTCTCGTGATGCTAGCCTGAGATTTCCTTCACGGGAACCATTCTTTCGCTTCAGCCGAACCCATTGCCATTCCAGGGAGTCCAATTGGCATGCGCTGAGCTGTGCACCCAATCTGCTTTGCCAGCTCTTTTCTGCCCTTTTATTATTACATTTACATTTTCACTTCCTTTTTTTTTTTTTCTACAGTGGGCAGATCAGCAAACCCACCTTCAAGTCCCAGGCGACCCAAACAGAAAAAGGTTTCTTTCCCTTGGGTGGCTCCCCCTCTCCCTTTAAGCTTTGCGCCCCTTGAGTCTATCCTTTGCTTTTCTCATTTTTCGTTTAAACAAACCTCCCTCCCTCCCTTTCGTCCTGTCCAGCTACCCTGTTTGGATCTCACACTCTTTCGATCCTGGCCGTGCCCTTGCCTGTGATCCCCTCCCCCCTCTCTGCGGTCGACCGCTCTCGATCGTGCGACATTCTGCCTCTTGACGTAACCGCACCTATATTCCACTTGACCACGGCAGACTCGCACTGCCATTAATTGTGCGCCATCATGGCTATCCGTGATGTCGGCCTGGAAGGCCTTCATCAGCTATTCCAACGGGTAAGTCTGCATGGTGTCGTGGGATCGCGCTCGGTCGCATTCCTTGGTTGATGCTGAAGAGCGCATCTCTAACCCTCCCACAGTCCAGCAGTGATGATCCGCAAAGCGCTTCCAACTCGGCCTCGGGCCTGGTCACGACCTTGGTCCCCTCCTTGATCTCTGCCGCGGCCATGGTGATTATCTTCATTATCTTGCGACGCAGTGAAACTCGCATGTACATGCCTCGTACTTACCTGGGCGTTTTGCGGCCCTCGGAACGTACTCCCGCTTCGCCTACTGGTCTCTGGAATTGGATTATGCAGATGTACCGGCTACCCGATGAATATGTCTTGCAGCATCACTCCATGGATGCCTATCTTCTTTTGCGCTTTTTGAAGATTGTTTCAATGATTTGCTTCGTGGGAGCTTGTATGACCTGGCCCATCTTGTTCCCGGTCAATGCAACGGGCGGCGGCGGCAGGTCGCAATTGGATATGCTGAGCATGTCCAACGTCAGCTCCGATAAATATGCTCGCTACTTTGCTCACGCATTCGTTGCGTGGCTTTTTGTCGGTGTGTATTCTCTCATAAATCCTGGCTTGGGGGGTGTCCATCGCTAATGGTATTGCTAGGCTTCGTCTTCTACACGATCACTCGCGAATGCCTGTTTTACATCAATCTGCGCCACGCATATGCCCTCGCTCCCGCATATGCCAGCCGTCTCTCGTCTCGCACTGTGCTCTTCACTGCGGTCACCGAAGATTATCTGAGCCGCGACAAGATTCGACAGATGTTTGGTCCCGAGAAGGTGAAGAATGTCTGGCTTACGACCAACACCAGCGAATTGGACGACAAGGTTGCTGAACGCGACGACGCTGCGATGAAGCTTGAGGCGGCGGAAACGAAGCTCATCAAACTGGCGAACGCTGCCCGTCTGAAGGCCCTCAAGAAGCAAGGGTCTGTGGAGGAAGGTCAAAACGCCGGCGATAGCCTCTGCGACGATGACGATGAGTCCGGCTCGGTTGCAGCTCGCTGGGTTCGACCCCAAGACCGCCCTACCCATCGGCTCACACTTCTGGTCGGCAAGAAGGTTGATACCATCAACTGGGCGAGATCTGAGATCGAGCGTCTTACCCCCGAGATCGAGGAACTCCAGGCCAAACACCGCGAAGGTAATGCGGACCTGGTCTCGTCTGTCTTCGTTGAATTCCACGCCCAGGCCGATGCTCAGCAGGCTTTCCAGTCTGGTTAGTATTCCATACTGTTCTTCGTTTTTGTCGAGCTATGCTAACTTGCGCCCAGTGGCTCACAACTACCCCCTGCACATGGCGCCTCGTTACATTGGCCTGGAGCCCACGCAGGTCATCTGGTCCAACTTGCGCATCAAGTGGTGGGAGCGACTCATTCGTTACTCTGCGACTATCGCATTTGTTGTCGCTTTGATTGTCTTCTGGGCCATTCCCACCGCCGTGGTTGGCTGCATCTCGAACATCAACTTCCTGACTGACAAGGTTCCTTTCCTTCGCTTTATCAATGACGTCCCAAGCTGGATTCTGGGTGTTATCACGTCTCTTCTGCCCACGGTCTTGATGTCCGTGCTCATGGCCTTGCTGCCAATCGTCCTCCGATGTAAGTTGCAACCCTAGGCCTCCATGCACATGAAGTCGACCGCATTCTCATCTGTTGATAGTGATGGCCAAATTTGGTGGTGCTCCTAGCTTGGCTGCTGTGGAGTTGACTACGCAGAACTTCTATTTCGCATTCGAAGTCATCCAGGTGTTCCTGGTTGTCACTATTTCGTCTTCCGCCTCCAGTGTTGTCACCAAAATTATCAACAACCCCACTTCCGCCGCGTCTCTGTTGGCTGAAAACATCCCCACCGCTTCGAACTTCTACATCTCGTATATCATCTTGCAAGGATTGTCTTTCAGTGCCGGTGCTTTGTTGCAGATCAGTGGACTGATCCTCGGCAAGGTCCTGGGTCGGCTTCTGGACAACACGCCTCGGAAGATGTACAGCCGCTGGTCCAACCTCGCTGGTCTTGGCTGGGGAACTGTGTACCCTGTTTTCACCCTCCTCGCTGTCATTGGTAAGAATTCAAGGTCTCTGAAGATATTGGAAACGGCCAGCTGACAATGCATACAGCCATCGTCTACTCGTGCATTGCACCTCTCGTGCTTGGCTTCGCCACCATCGGCCTCTACCTCTTCTACTTCGCCTACCGCTACAACATGCTGTACGTGTCGAACGCCAACATTGACACACAGGGCAAGGCCTACGTTCAGGGTCTGAAGCATCTGACAGTGGGCTGCTATCTCTTGATGGTCTGCCTGATTGGTCTTTTCGCCATCGGTACCGCTGCCGACAACATTGCCACTGGGCCCCTGGTCCTCATGATCATTCTGCTGGTCTTCTGCGTTCTGTACCACGTGGCCCTCAATAATGCCCTGGAGCCCCTGATCCAGTACCTGCCTAAGAACCTTGAGTCGGAGGAAGAAGCTCTGCTGTCTCGCGAGCAGACCAAGGTGAGCCAGTCCGGCGAGGCATCGGATGACGCCGCCGCCGAAGGCTCCAAGGCGCGCGACAGCGGCGTGGCCAACATCGACTCCGCCGAACGGGGTCTGACCTCCGACGAGCCCCAGGCCAAGCCCAACTTCCTGCTCCGGTACCTTCGTCCCGACAAGTACGACAGCTATGCGCAGATGCGCCGCCTCGTTCCCAGCGGACAGGAGATCACCAAGTACGCACCCGAGGTGGAGCGGGACGCTTACTTCAACCCGTCCATCAAGGCGCAACCCCCTCTGCTCTGGATTCCTCGGGATGAGCTGGGTGTCAGTCGCCAGGAAGTCAGACACACCTCCCGGGTTATTAAGATCACGGACGAGGATGCTTGGCTGGACGAGAAGAACCACATCTGCTGGGACTTGGACAAGGGTGTTCCTCCCATCTTCAAGGAGAAGGTTTACTACTAGATACCCAAACGCAAGGAAAGAGAAAATGATGTGTATGGATACTTTACCGACAGTTGGATAAGGCCATGGTGATGGGAGAATAGTTACAGAGAACCTTGATACCCACGGATTTGGAGGCCATAGAGTATATGGCTGTTGGAAGATGAAGATAATACGGATGTTCATGTTTAAATTTAATTTTACTAACTAATTATGAGTTAAGTGTTTGAGAAGAAATGGCCGTGATGTTTACATATATACAAGGAGTATACTAACTATATAATGACTGCTGCTGAATGAATACATTACACGCCGATACTACTACTAGTACCTTGATTAACCAAGTTATTATTCTATTCATATGACGATTACTTCCCCTCAAGATGAACCCTCTCCCACCCCCGCCTAACCCCATGCCTCCTCATCATCCGATCATACCAACCCGTCAGCTCAGGAAACCTCTCCAAATCAAACCCATATTGACTCGCCGCCGCGACATACGGAAAATGCGCTATATCAGCCACCGTACTGTGACCCATCAGCCAAATACGACCTACTACATAGTAGTAAAAAGAAAGTAAGAAGGAAATACAATACCATCTCTCCCCAATCAACCACCCTCCCCCGCCCCTCCTCTGCCGGGACAAATACTCCTCTAGATGGAGATACAGACTGAGTAACCTTCTCGCAAAGGGGACGGTCGCAGTCGCAGTCTCTTTCGCAGTATTGTTGTTGTTATCTACCACCTCGGTCTCTTTTATCGCTGGGAGATGTTGTTTGTTGTGATGATGCTTATGCTCATGCTTGTTGTCAGGTTCATTGTCTTGATGATGTTGATGGATGATCCCCATCCGGTCTGCTAGCTTCGATAAACTCTCTTCGACAGCTACATGTTCAGGCGAATGCGGGGGGTATGAGAGGTGGTGGTGGTGATGATGATCGCCGTCGTAGCGGGTCAGGAGATAGGTGGTTATGGAGGGAAGGGAGTGCAGGGTTGGGCCGTGGCCGGTGCGGTGGATGTCTGTTAGGGTTGTGGTTGAGGAGGAGTGGGGGAGAAGGTGGAAGGTGTAGGGGAGTCTAAGTTCTTCGAGGATGATGGCGATGGTGGTGCCAGTGGTGGAGGCTTTGGGGGTGGAGAGGGTGATGGTGCTGGGTTCTTCGTCAAAGACGTTCATTGTACAGTTTGTCTGCCGTAGGCAAGTGAACTGTTGGAGTAGAGGAAGAAACTAGAGGGGGGATGTGACGTTATGTGGGATAAGCAGGATTGATCCCTGCCGATAAAGTTCTTGGTTTTATCTCCTGGGGAAGTAAATTGGGGTTCATGGTTGACGTCACGGGAATACGAGAGAGAACAGAGAAAAAAGTTCAGGGCACGAGTTGGGATTACAGGAACTGGTTTAATTTTTAGAACTGGTGATACAGAGTTACATAGTGTCTATCTGTGATTGTTTGTCTAGTTTTATTTTCTATATTTGTTTCAATGTAGTACCATCTTCAGTTTGCAAACTGATAGATTAAATCAAATGAATGAACGAAAAAGCCGAGGTGTCAACCCCAAAAGAGTAAAACGGTAATCAAAATGGGCGGGTCTGGCCACGGCGAGCTTATGACTCGCCCCACCAATCACAGACGATGGCCGGGCCTGGCTCGGTCGCCGTGCATGTCGGCACTCCATCCCTCGGCATCTGATTGGCTGGCATTGTCAGTTTCGGCCGGCGCAGAACGCGGCGTCATCAAGCCGTTACGTTTGCCGTTTTGGCCGAAAAGGGTCTGTCTAGTTTGCAATTCTGCAAGATTGCACACCCACAATTCCTATCTCTCTGTCTCTCCCCCTCCCTCCCTGCGATTTCCTGAGCAAACATCTCGGCTCAATATCTCTAATCCTTCCAGACGAACCATGGTTTGACTGTTCGATCCGCCACCATCGCTGTGCTTGTGTGACTTGTATCCCCCCGGAGGGGTTGCGCTATAAGTATCCGATTGTACTCCCCCCCACACCAGCCAGGGGAATAAAGCAGGAATTGGCAACAGTAGCCGACTCTCAACCCCACGCGCTCATGATGCAGTCCACCCCTGTTCCTCGCGACATCCTCATAGTCGGCGCCGGCATCGCGGGTCTGGCCAGCGCCATCTCTCTCGCCAAGGAACTGGCTTCCTCCATCCCCGACCTGAAGATCTCCGTTTTCGAAGGCGCACCAGGACTATCTGCCTCAGGGGGCGCCATAAGTCTAACCCCAACGGCGCAAAATTACCTCGACAAGTTGGGCGTTTTGTCCGAACTTAATCGCATGGGCAGTGAAGCCGGCATCGAAGTCGATCGCATTGAACTCTTCTCCCTCCGCTCAGGTCGCAGACTTGGACCTCTCAAATTCACCGACGAGAATGGCTTCGGTTACGGTGGCTACAAGGGCCGTCGGGTCATGCGAAATGCCCTCTCGCGCGCCATGTTATCTGTCATTCAAACCCACCTTCCCACGGTTTCCGTCTACTTCAACAAGAAAGTCGTAGGCGGCACCACAACCGACTCATCCGTCACCTTATCCTTCGAAGATGGCTCTTTCGCTACAGGCGAGCTTGTTTTGGGCTGCGACGGCGTCCACTCTATCACGCGCACGCGCATTGTCGATCCCGGCAACCGCTCCGAATACACCGGCATCTCCTTCATCCAGAGCGTCACCGACGCCCACGACCTTTCCGTCCCCATGCACTTCAACCAGACTGCCATCCACCTCACTCGCCACAGTTCCCTCCTCACTAGCTACTGCGACCCTGATCGCCAGAAGATCTTCTCCGCCGCTATCCTCCGCGTGAACGAACACCTCATTGAGCGCTACCAAGCCACTTCGAAAAGCGATTGTCCGGAACAAGCCAGCATGAAGATGTCCATCCGCTATCTGGTGCGCACGCAGTTCGCCAAATCTGCCCTTCCTAGCATCCGCGCGCTCCTCGACCACACCGAAGATTGGGCCCTGTATCCGGTATATCAGGTCCGGCAGCGAGGGAAATGGCACAAGGGACGGATTCTGCTCCTGGGTGATGCAGCGCATGCGGTAAGCCATAAACCACCCCCCCAATACTTCACTTTGAAAGCAGTCACTAATCTTCAGATATAGATGCCTCCCCGCGACGAATCCGCCGCCTACTCCATCGAAGATGCCCTCATCTTCACACAAATCTTCTCCCGCAACCTGCACGCCCCACTCGCCACTACCTTCCAAGAATACGAGTCCCTGCGCCGCGAGCTCGTCAACAAAGTCTTTGACGCCTCCCGCCGTCTCTGGCAAAGTGATCTCGATAAGGGCTTATTTCCGGGCCACGTGCGCGAACTGATGTCGCCGGTTCACATGTCGCCCGGGGGTTGTACAACGATAGCATCAGCTAGACCGGCCGTTCCAGCAGCCACGCATCAGAGTTTCTCGGATCTGTCGGTGTACTCGTTGACCCGGGAGTTCCAAGGAGAGATCGAATCCTAATCGAATGAACCGGGGATAGATACGAGGATGGCATATAGAGGTGTTCAAAGGTTCCTTACTTCGGGTTTGTGTTCTCGTGGGGTACGGTATATTTTTTTTTTTTTTCACACGGATGGATCATAGAAAGGAATGGAATCTGGGACAGGACAGGATATATGGCTAGAAACGAGCGTTACGACCACATTACTACAGCAATGATAATACTTTTAACCATTAGTTTTCATTTCAGAGCCTTGCATCCTCCAGAATCTCCCTTCCATTCAACCGATCCCTCGGATCCAACTTCATAATCCTACACACTAACTCCCTATCCTCACGAGGAATCTCCTTCTCCGTCGTAAGATGAAATGGTCTCAGCGTCTCCGGCGGGCTATTCCGCGTTGCTTCTGAGCTCCTGAAGATTGGTGTCCCAGCCTCGTCTCCCTGTTGGGCGTAGAGGGGGGTTTTTCGGAAACGGTGCTGCTGAAATTGGCGAGGTGAAGGTCGGTGAAGCGGATTTCATTGTTGTGGTTGGTATTGGTGTTGGGTTGGTGTGGAGCTTATGAGATTATTGCTTGGTTTGATATCGATATCAGTCTGTTTAGCTATTTGTACTATGTAGTAGATGTAGTATGGTGAAGGAAATGTACATACTATTAGTATGAACGGACCCATCTCCGTGAAGTACAGCCGATGCCTCCAACACCCTGCTCACAACATACTTTACCTCTCGTCGCGTTAGTCTTTTGCTGTTTAATAGGTGTAGTAGATCATCGTTAAATATTTAGGATGGGCCTTAGACTTCATTCAGGAGTGGGCGATATGTGGACATCATGCTGGAAGCGATGGATAACGTCCCTTTTGTTTCGAGGACGGAAGGGTTGTACATTCTTCACGATGACTGGTTGTTTGTAGGTTTTGGATCATTAAAGACTTTGAGACTTAGGATTCCATGGCGTTATAAGATAGATGTTAGTGGACGATTTACGTTGCTAGCCAGATACTATGTTGGAGTTGCTTGATTATGTCTTGATATTTGATTGAATACCTATTGTTACTGGGATGATGGCCATCTTGGAATCCGCCGAGCTTAGTTTAGCTTGTCAAATTGAAGTCGACTAATTGGAGGATTGAGTGTAGATCTCGATGCATTAAAGTGATCCACCGTGGCGTCACCGCCCGGGCGTGCCTGGTTTTCTGCCGTCCATTTTTTCCGTTTATCAAAAGATTCCCGAAATCCGTTGCTTCTCCTCCGTCCACCTTCTCCCTCTCATCCTCCCATTCTTCCTCCTTTTTCTCCCATTTATTTTCCATCTTCATTGGTTTAATAGACATTTTATTTGTTCTTAATTGCGTTTCTGTTACCATTTTACTCTCCCCAAGCTCCTCATCATGCTGGGCGCTTTCCGCCGTTCCGGCGCCGTCCATGCGCTGCGAGCTTCACGATCTCTGCTGGCCAGATCGATTCCTCAGCAACCTCAATGGCTCTCTGCTTCTGCACCGGCGGTCTCATACGTCGCTCGCGCCCTCTACCATCCGTCCCCGGCTTTTCTTGATGCCACAGCAGCAGCTCAGGCGCAACTCAACGTCGCCGCCGACATCGAGCCCCGGCTACCCAATTCCAAGTTCCACAGCCTGGCACAAGACGGCCTGGTCAACGACAGACTGATCCGGACCGTGACAAATTCCATGAAGATTGAAACCATGACCGATGTTCAAGCTAAGACGATCCGTGAAACACTGAGCGGCGATGATGTGTGAGTTCTTCTTCGTCTCTGCCTCCCTTCATTCACCTATCTGCAAATGGCGGCTGACCTTGATTTTTTCTTCCCATATAGCTTGGCCCAGGCAAAGACCGGAACTGGAAAGACTCTTGCCTTCTTGATCCCGGTCGTCCAGCGCCTTGTTAGTGATCCGTCAGTCAAACGCTCGCGCCCCTCATACCGTGGACAACAAGGGAGGAGAAACACGCCCGATATTCGGGCGATTGTCATCTCTCCGACTCGTGAGTTGGCGGAACAGATTGCCCATGAGGCACAGCGCTTGGTGTATGGACTGGGTTTGACCGTGCAGACGGCAGTCGGCGGTACTCAAAAGAGATTGCATCTAAACAAGATCCGGAACGAGGGCTGCAATATCTTGGTTGGAACTCCTGGTCGTCTGAAGGACCTTCTTTCCGATCCGTACAGCGGTGTCACCGCGCCCCAGCTCCAAGCTCTCGTCTTCGACGAGGCTGATCGCTTGCTGGATGATGGCTTCTCGCAAGAGATCGGTCAGATCAAGGACCTCCTGCCCAACCCGGAGGAGGTCGACCGCCAGACCCTGATGTTCTCCGCCACCGTCCCAGGTGAAGTCATGAACATGGTGCGTCAGACTATGAAGCCTGACTTCAAGTTCATTAAGACTGTCTCGGAGGATGAGGTGCCCACCCACTTGCGGGTGCCCCAGAAGGTCGTCTACCTGGATGGCTTCCAGAACGGCTTGCCTGCTATTCTGGAGCTGGCCAAGCAGGGTTACGTTAACTCCCCGAATTTCAAGGCCATTGTCTACCTGAACGCAACGACGATGGTCTCGCTGGCCAACGACATCTTCAGGCGGCTTCAGAATGATCCTGAGGACCGTACCAAAGGACACGCTCTTGGCCGCCTCCCTATTCTCCAAATCCATTCGCGACTGACTCAGGCGCAAAGAACTCGTGTTACGAGTACTTTCCGCAACGCGCGCTCCGGCATTCTCTTCTCTTCCGACGTAACCGCCCGTGGTCTGGATTTCCCCGATGTCACGCACGTCATCCAATACGGACTCCCCAGCGAGCGTCAGACCTACATCCACCGCGTGGGACGTACTGGCCGTGCGAACAAGGAAGGTGAGGGCTGGATCTTGCTGCATAACAACGAGAAGCGTGCCTTCAAACAGATGTTGGGTGACCTGCCGATCGAGGAGGATCAGACCACGATCCCCGTGGCGAAGGTCAACATGCGTGAAGAGATCGAGGATGATGGCTCAGAGACGAGCCGAACTCTACAACAAATCAAATTGGCCGCGCAGCAGGTTCCTATCGACGATCGCGTGGAGGCATGGAAGTCCCAAACGGGTACCATCATAGGCAAACTCCAACCTCTGTCGGCGACCCTCCCTGCAATGCATGACCTGTCCAAGTACGGATACGTGCTGCCCAAGCCTCCGCATCTCCCTTCCAGAATCCAACAAGCTTTGGAGAAGGGCGATAGGCCTCCTCCAAGGTCCAACCGTGGTGGGCCCCGGGATTCCTTCAGGTCCCGGGATTCCTACAGGCCCCGTTCTAGCGGTGGCTATAATGACCGCTACCAACGCTCCTCATCCCGCGACCGCGAGCCCCGCAACCCTTGGAACGAAAGAGGCTCCTCTCGCGGCCGTCGCGAGAGCCGCTCCTACAACCGCTACTGATTATCGGCGCTTGAGGCCAGGATCATTAACGTTCTTAGATACCCTTCCTATGAAACGCAGCCCTGCTAAAATTGACCTTTGGAACCGGCTTGTTGTAATAGTGCCGGATATCTATTTGGGGATGAGCTTCTCCTTTCTCCTTCTTCTCATTGTGATCGGACTGCGTGCAATGTTTTCTTTTAAAAAATGTGTTCGATATGTGATCGGCTTGTATACTACATAACAGATACCACGTGAATATGGCATAGTCTCTACTCTAGACACAATATACATGTATAATATGACAGAAATCCCAACATATGACCCTATCGCTATCACTTCATAGGACATAGGAAATCAACTAGAAAATGGTCTGCTTTCTAGTCCTCGTAAAGTGACCACTGGGCTACGAGACCGGAGGATCAAATACAGTCAATCCTATCATCATATCGATAATTCTACTAAATATGGAAACCAATATAACAGAAAAAGAATGCTTTTAATCTATCCATAGTAAAACCCTAAGACAGTCCTAATATACATACATGCTGCCATCTATGTCCAATAAACCCAATAACAAGCGCTAGCTATCAATAGCATTCATTAAGCATCCTCCCCATTCTTCTTCTTCTCACTCTCCGCCGCCTTGGCCGCAAACCTCTCCCTGGCCAGCTCAATCCTCGACTTCGGCTTCTGACCCCCCTCGCCACCAACATCCAATCCCTTCGCCTTGGCCGCCCACTCACCTCTGCGGCGCTTATACAAGTCCATCGACCAATTACGCCACACCGCACGACCGACAAACGAATCCCTCAGAGCCATTTCACTGCGCGCCAGTTCCTGCGCCATGCGCTCCTTCACGAAGAACACGTCCTTCGTAGCGTGCCAGAGAGCATCCACGACGCGGGACCCGCTGCTATCCAGGGCCAGTTCTTCGAGATGGCCCGTGAAGCGGACGGCGAACTGGCGCCGGAATTGTGGCGTCGAGGTGGGCAGAGTGAGGGATTTCTGGATGACGTGGGAGGCGGTGGGGTCTTTGGCGATGGTGAGGAGGGATTCGGGCGTTTGGGAGAGGAGGCTGCTGTAGACGAGGGCGCTGAGCGGGCCCGGGGCTGTGAGGATCGTCTGTACAAAGAGAGAGTTGTGGAGTTTGGCGCCTTTGGGATTCGTGTTGATGTTGGCGTTGGCGTTGTCGGGGCCGAAATCGGGGATTGCGGGGGGTTGTTGGTGGTCGTCTTGGTCTTGTGCTTGGTTTTGTTGTTGGGGTTCAGAGGTGGTGGTTGTGTCCTCGAGAGTGAGCATTTGGGACAGTCGCTTGGCGGGGTCGCTGTCGTAGGCGGTTTCGAGGGAGCGCGCGATAGGGGTGGTGTCGACGCCGCGGACGATGCATCGCTCGACGAGGGTCTTGGGGACGATGACGCGGGAGCGCTCGATGAGGTTGGGGATCTGAGGGACGAGGAGTTCCACGGCGTTTTCGAGGTCGTCCTTTCCGAGACGTTCCAGGACTTTGAGCACGACGTAGCCGGCGGTGATGTTGCGCGACAGGGAGCGGAGCTGGTCACGCAGGAAGTTCTTGTAGAGACCCTTGAATAGCTTGCCGGGCATGTATCGGACGATGGTCTCGAGAAGGCGAGAGCCCACGGGGTCGTAGAGAAGGCCGCGGATGAAGACGGTGCTTTCTGTGCCTTCTTCGAAGGTATCGTCGGGGATTAGTCGGCGGATGATCGACTTGGGGTCCTTCGCGCTGGCCTTTCCGAAGTGGGAGAGCTCCAGGTATACGAGGACTTGGAGAACTGGGTTTCCGACGGGGTGGGTGGCAAGTGCGCGAAGATAGGTGTCGTCGAGCACGGAGACCATATCCTGCATGATCTTCTTCAGGGTGCCCTCGAACGATTCGGGCACGCTGCGCTTCTGCGCAACGGGGTTCTCGTCCTGCACTTCGTTGAGGACGCCGTGTCTTTCCTTCTTGCGACTAGCAACGACCGAGTCGCTCAAGGATAGATCGACCGGCTCTCCTGCCAGCACCAACAGGAGAACGCGAATGGTGTGCGACGCAAACCGCTCCGTCAGCAAGTATCCCCAATTTCCCTCCAACTCCTCGATGACCTTCATGAACATCTCCGCCAGCGACAGTTCGGGCTCGGGCTCGTCTCCCTCCTCGGCTTCGGTCTTGCTAGCCTTCTTGGATGGCTTTTGCGACACTCCGGGCGCAGCGTGAATGAAAAGAGTCTCACAGCAATGACTGGCGAACCGGTGCTGAACCAGGTGCAGGAAATGACCGATGAACTTGCTGAACAGTCTCCGGATCTGGTGTATGTCCGACATCGAGATCAACTTCTCCATAAGACGGGAACACGACTGACTGCATGAGATCTTCAATTCCTTGCCTTCGGCCTCCTTGTAGACACTTTCGACGAAGACTCGTCGCTCCTCTGCGTCTCCGAACTGGTTGGTCTCCAACACCTCGTTTGCACGCGAGAAGTATTCCTGCTCCTCGGGATCGAGAAGACCATAAAAGGGCATATCGCCCGTCTGCGCTCCCTCCTCGCCCTGCTGTTGTCCATCGTCCAGAGCGATATAATCGGCACCGTTAACGAAGTCGTTGGTCTCGTCGTCGGAAGGTTTCACTCGTTTGGGCACGACATCTTCGGGGGCGTCGTCGCGCTTTCGCTTGCTGGCTTCCTTGTTGGCCTTTTCGGTGGCGCGACGGCCTCTCTTGACCTTTTCACGAGGCATGATGTGACGATGTGCAATTGGGAGTTGAAGGGGGAAGTTTTCTCTCTCGCCGATTCGCTTTTTTTCTGCGTTTTTCCCGCAATCGATAAGCAGTGGACCGAGCGTCCTCAACAGATGTTTGTCATGTTTGCATCTCTTTACTCCCCAGATCAACTTTCACATTAACTTCCTCATGCATGACAACAACTGTTGTGGAAAAGGAGAGAATGGCATGGAATACTCAATGACTTTTCTTATCTCAGTTGTTAATGTGCGGCATCTATCGTGTCACTTGAGTTGAACTGACTGCAAAGCTGCTGCGGAACTATGCAATGCTAAATTCCGTACTCATGGATGAGATTGCTGACTAGTTGGATAATGGATCTTCTACTGAATAAACTAATCTAACCAAAAGAAAGCAGGAAAATCAAGGGATAAAGACGAAAAGAGACAAAATGCAACAATTACTTTCAAACCCCGTCCAAAGTATCTTCCAGATCAGATCCTACTGAACTTCTAGCAGACACCGGTGTCCCTTCGTTGATAGCAGGAAATGCAGGACCTGCTCCATGTCCTCATCGCTCATTCCTTCCCGGGATGATACTTCTGATCTGGGAAATTGTCGGAAGAAATGGGCGGTAGCCAAGCGCAGCTCTATCCGAGCCAAATGTAAACCCAGGCAATCTGTTACAGTTAGGTTAGCTGCTGGTTGATACTCTCCTAACAATTGACAGTCGCACTTACTACGTGTCCCTGCTCCAAATGGCATGAATGCATCCTTCATCTCCTTGGTAGGGGAAGCCCAGCGGGAAGGATCGAACCTATACGGATTTAGTCAACAACTCCGGGATCAGCCAGCCAAGTGCGAATGTTTGCGACCACTTACTTTTCGGGCTCCGGGAACGCAACAGGATCACGATGCAAGCTCCAGATTTGCGTCGTTACAGTGCTCCCTCCGGGAACCCAATGGTCACTAAATGTCGCACCTTGTGGTGGTACAACGCGAGGGAGAGCACAAGGGACGGCGGGATACAGGCGCAAGGCCTCATCAATGACCTGGTTCAGATAGGATAAGCTCTAGACATCCTTGTCAGAAAACCGCTCGGGCAGTGTGGCGACCTCGGCAACAAGTGCTTGCCGGATGACTGGCGCCTTGCAGACTGCCCAAGTGAGATAGGTCAAGGTGTTGGCTGTGGTGTCACTCCCAGCGATGATGAGGTCAGAGGCATCGTCGCGGATTTCAGCATCAGACAATCCTTCCTTGCCAGCATTATACAGTTTTGTGAAAAGTGTCGGCTTGACGTCTTCGGGACTTGCGGCTAGCAGCCTTTTGTACCGATTGACGCATTCGTCAGCATAGTTCCCGAATCTATTCCGGCTCTTGTTAGCCTCCCTGAGGATGGGGAGCGGCAGGAATTCCGCGAGCCTGAAGATGAAAGGAAAAGCTACTCGAGACTCTCCAACCAAGGCGGCTATCTCTAAGTCTTTGATATGCTGATCTTTCTGTGCGGCTTGGTCAACTCATGTCATAAAGTTCGGCTTGCGATAGGCTATATTACTTTGCCTTGCTCCAACATCCGGAATGAGTCCCCGAAGGACAGTTCTCCAATAATGTCGCTGGACATGAAGAAAAACCACTTCTGGACATCGGCCACCTTACGGGTGGTCATTTCCTCTCGCATGCGCTGCATGGTGAGGCGGATGCGGGCCTCTATTAAGGGCTCCAGTGAATGCAAGTTCGCATCTGCGAAGGGCGATGAAAGAAGCCTGCGATGTTTGCTGTGGAACTTGGGATCAGTAGTACTGAAGATACTTTTTGCATTGTCGTGCTTGAGCAATTCATATACCGGCGATTTTAGGAAGCCACTTCCTATGCGATGGATCTCTCGGGCTTCAGCAATCTTAGCAATGTCGACTGCATTCGGACCAACCCGGACGACTGGACCTACATGAGAGCACACAATTAGCCTTGCGGGTGCCTCCATCCGATAAATTGCTCGCATTACCATATATTTTATGTAGCCCTTGCACATATCGTGGCCGGTTCCCTGTGACTGTTTGATATCTGACGAAAATATCCGTCCACTTGCACAGGAAGGGCCCGGGGATCGACGACAACGGGTTCCTCCGCTCGCGATAAACTTCTACTCGCTTGCACGTTCAGCCTCGATCTGTCAAGCAGAAACCCAAGTAGACCCACAGTTACGATATAGAGGACGAAGAAAAAAATAATCAAAGTCGGACCATGGCCAGCCACGAAGCTGGACCACATTGCGCTTGCTGGGTGAAGCGATACCGGATCCCCAATGAACTAATGCTACTACTGTCACTTGATTCCAGATAGATTATTGTTAGCATTTAGAGGGGAGAAGCGTGGACTGGCATTTTTAACCGCTCCCTCAGGTAATTGCTAAAACGTGGGACGTGCGATGAAGTAATATCAAGTACAGCCGAAAACGGATTGCAACTGAAGCTTCTGCCAGGTCACAGAACACCAAACCCTCTCAAACAGCGAATGAGGGAGTACCAGCTTCTGAACCGACTCATTCTCAGTGGTCGTTGGAGGTAGCCGACCATCTCTAATTGCTCTCAGATAGAGCAGCTGACGGCCTGACGCAAGGTCCAGCGCGACCGCAGGTTGAGATGAACGGAATGACAATCATCCAATGCGCTCGATATGCAGTGCTGCTTGATAATGTGGGATTTGCATTGGTCTCAACCTAGCGGTGTAACTGCCTGGAGCAACGGATTTGCAGTTTACTGCATACCTTGCATATCAGCAGTTACACTGGTGAACTGGCTACTTTGAAGGAAGCCAAAGATCGACAACACCGATGATCTGGCACGACAATGCCATTATTATCAGGGAATATAAACCCAAGCTCTGACTGCTTATTGATGAGATATAATTGGCCTCGACTGAGCCGGCCGTCGTTCATCTCTACCAGTGATGACCGCCAACTGGCACGGGTTGGAAGCCCTATCTTGGCCGCATCCGACGATGCGACCAAACTTAACATAACACCCCCCCTAAACCAAGAAAAAGACAGTTATTCCTTCATTCAGAAACCCAATTTATTGCCATGACCTGGCTGACAGGCGCGTTCCCGAACGACTCAACTTAAAATATCTCCTCAACTGATCATATTTCGGGTCGCGACTCCCATCCGAGCTTCCCATTGGCTCGCGGGCGGTTCCGAGCATCATCGACTGGCCCTGGATACAACCTTGCTATTGCTGGCCAGCGTCATCGATCCGTCAACTTCCGGATGCTGTTGCTGGTTCGCTGTGCTATGACCCCTGTTACAATTTACTCTGATGTTGTCTGATCTCTTTCCCTCCGCTGCTGCTCGGTCGCGATGCATGCGCGGCTTCAATGCACCAGCAAGACTTGTTGACAGGAGCCCAAGCCAATCAAGGTGACCCCGAAGTGTCTCATTTGACACGACTAATTGGTTTGCGATGCCTCTGCTGTACGTGCGGGCTGTAGTTCCCTTTGAGGCCGGCGCCAATGCCACCGATGTGCTCATCAACGAGGTCCATTTCAATCGCACCGCACTCAATTACTATCACTACACGCTCTTCAGCAATGGGACCCTTTCCAATGGCACGGACTGCTATCTTGCCTTCAATCAGTTCCAACCACACATGAACGAGAATGGGACTTTCGTGAACGGAACCTCCTGCTATGCACCTATTCGGGATATAGGTCGACATGCGTCGGCTGGCCTGGCTTTTGCCTTCATGTTTGTCTTTGCGATTGTTTTCACCTTGATCAACATGCGCAAGCATAGCCGGCGGTATCTGCCTGCTGATCGCCGGTGGACACTCCTGGGTCGTCGGGCGAAATGGATCTGGATGCTCTTCATTGCCGCCTGCGGCACCATTAGCTGCTTCATGAGCATCGACGTGGATCGAGGGTACATTGTGAGCGTCCCGTTGATTCTGCAAAGTGTGTTCTACACTCTGTTGACGCCGGGGATGATGGCCGCGGTATGGGAGGCGGTCCGGCACTGGTAAGTAATGATAGGTTGCATTCCCGGACTTGTAGAACCGAATTGACACGAATCCCAGGGGCTCCTGGCAAGAGCGGCAGATCTACGATCGGGATCCGTACGCATTCCAAGTATCCAGCAGCCGGCAAGGTCAGGAGTTTGTGCTCCCGATCATCTTCTACGGATGCGCTTTGGCCAATTTTGTCTTGACCGTCCCGCGCTCTTGGACCGCCATTGAGATGCAACGCAGTCTCGACCAACAGCTCAATGAAGCCAAGCCGGTCGCTACAGATGTACGATGGCGTGCCGCCGGATTTGTCGCGGTGGCCGGCGTCTTAGTGATCTGCTACAGCCTGGAACATAGCATCTACCGCTACCGGGCGCGACCGACCAGCACCATAGGCCAGCTCTTGTTCTACTTGAATGCGGCCCCATCGCAATTCCTCATAGCTATTGTGTTGCTTGGCGTAAAGATCGGATACGCTATTGCCTCTGCCTTCGACTGGACAGTGTCCCCCTTGAGGTACGGAGTCGATTCTGGATGGCTCTACGGGCTGGGATACACGCCGGTGCTGCTCTTGCTCATTCTGTTCAATATCTGTGGATTCTGCGAGCTGAATGAAGATAAAGCCTTGATCGTGCAGCGAGACGAATTCAACCATGCAGTTGCTGATGCTGTGGGAGTCGGACAGCGGAAGCCCAGCTGGTGGAAGAAGAGCCGCACCTTCGTTCGAGAACTTAGTGATCATCGCCAACGCCAGGGCTCGCAGCAAGACGATCGTGATATGAGTCGGTTTGTGGAGATGGGGATCATCAAGCCACGAGAGCAACCTCAGGAGGACGAACCCAAGCCGGAGACATGGGTGACTACGCGTACTGCCAGTCAGGGCAGCGAGTCGACTGCGGTGGCGCGTACGGAGAGCAGTCCGGAGACCAGCCCACCGTATGTCGAATATACTCTGCAGCCGGAGTTGTCTCGGAATACTTCTAACGAGATGGAGGTACATGGGCGCCCGCAGACTGAAAGGGACATATTGGGATAGGGGTCAAGCCAGTAGGAATACGGATAATATTGGAGGGTATGGATAGTTAGTTCGCGATGTATCATGAGTCGACGACTTATATAGGCCAGATTAATCACAGATGGATGTTAGTGAAATGAAGATTATTTCTTTCTACTTGATACTCAAGCGCAGTATCAATATATGCACGTGACACTCTGATTGCATGTTTGCTCGGTTTGCCTCCCTGCCTCTCATCGCGAAGCTTCACTTCACCCTCCACCATCCACTCCACTCCCATTGTTCAGCCAGACCACAATTCGCGTCCAAATATCCCAGTGACGAAGCTGCAAGCAGGTCTTGCACACCAGAAAACCCTTCAGTGATCCTATCCTCCCCTCTTTCCAACTCACAACATGGAACCCGAAAAGCGCAAATACGCCGCCGGGCCTTCCCTGCCCTCCACTAGCGAAGACGACTCCAGTAAACGTCGCAAAGTGATCGGACCAGCTCCCCCTCCTCCATCTACCACTGCAGACGCCAATTCCTCCGACAATAGCTCCTCTGATGACGACTCTGACGACGACTTCGGACCCAGCCTCCCTCCGCCAGAAGGCACCGTCCCATCTGTCCCCAATACCGGCGCAACACAACCCATCCCCTCCGAAAGTACCTCAGAAGCACCAAAACAACCTCAGCGCGATGCCTGGATGCTCGAGCCCATCGACGGCTCGAACCGCAACTCCCGCGTCGACCCGACGAAATTGCGCAACCGGAAATTCCAAACTGGGCGGGGAGCCAACACTACGCCCAGTGCGGGCGGGTTAGACGTTTCCTGGACTGAGACGCCGGAGCAGAAAATGAAGCGCCTACAGGATGAGGTCCTGGGTGTGCAAACACGGCCTACTGCCCCTAATGCGGGCGACTCGGCGGGAGGAGCGCGCGGCGCACAGCCCTCGCGGGCTATGCAGGAGAAGATCCACCGGTTCAATGAAGAGAAGAGAAAAGAGGAGGCGAAAGCGAGGGATGCGGAGAGAAAGAAGAAGAAGGATGGAGAAGAAGAGGAGGATGACCCTAGTGCTCGTGCTTTTGATAAGGAGAAGGATATGGCACTTTCGTCGAAGATTACGCATGCGCAGAGACGGGAGATGATGAATAAGGCGGCGGACTTTGGGTCGAGGTTTACGAGTGGGAAGTTTCTGTGATTGAGCGACGCTTGTTCGGTATCTTTCACGAGGATCTTGTCCGACTTGCTTCGCATGGTTGCGGCTCTGTCGTACACAGCGTCGTACGGGCCATCCGTTTGTTGATCAATTCTGCCTAGGGCAATGACTGGCAGCCGGAGGCTGGGCAATTCCTCTATGCCAATGGTCGTTTCGGATAAGTGCATCGCCCTGATCAGCCATGTTGGTTACAGTTCTCGTTGTATCTGGTAGCAGCACCTGCTGTTAGATATCAAGGCTCACAGTGCCGCGAGAATGACCAGTGAGCCATCTCAGGTTGTCGCCGCAGCGCGGTGACATGCTGGAGCTATGAAAAATGGACTAATACTATCATGGAACTTCAGTGTCCTCTCAGAGGACAGATAGTAGGCCGATTAGCTGGTATGGGGTTTGGGTTCTCCGAAACCCGCCAAGATGGGAAGATCAAGATAACTTTATTTGGCGGCTTGGCTGCTTCGGATGGCCATCCCGCAGATAACATCTGGTGTGATTCTGGGGTACATCCACAGAGTTTGAGTTGTAATTTTATATAAAGACTACATAGAAACCTAGGTCAATAAGTTCAAATATCATAATTAGCTGCAATCATCTTCACTTACGCAGACGAAACAGTCAGCGGGGCGATTGACAGCATCTCCGCGGGATGATCTGCTGATCTTATCAGACCATCGATGATGCGGGGATGTTTTGGCGTCTCCGCCTTGCTTCGGCTTCATTCCTTGCTTTCCCCCTCTTCTTTCCCTCTCCTCTCTATTCTTCCCTCCTCATCTTTACTCCCTCTACAACCTCATCACAATGAACCTCCGCCAAATCAACGCCCACAACCTCTCCACCTTCCGCCACCACTATGTCTCCGAGATCTCTGGCTCCCTCGGCGACCTGGGCACATTCCTCCCCATCGCCATCGCTCTAGCCGTCAACAACACCGTCTCCCTCTCCAGCACGCTAATCTTCTCCGGGCTCTTCAACATTCTCACAGGTGTCTTCTTCGGTATTCCCCTACCCGTCCAACCCATGAAAGCCATCGCCGCCGTCGCCATCGCCCGCACCTTCACCAACGGCGCCATCGCAGCAGCCGGCCTCTTCGTCGCAGCCTTCATCCTCCTATTCAGCGTAACCGGCCTCCTCACGCGCTTCGCCAACGCCATCCCCATCCCCATCATCAAAGGAATCCAAGTCGGCGCCGGCCTCTCCCTCATCATTGCCTCCTGCAACTCCCTCCTCAGCAACCTTTCCTGGCTCTCCCCCTCCTGGGCTGACAACCGTCTCTGGGCCCTCGCCGCATTCTGCTTCCTTCTCTTCACCACCGTCTACCGCACCGTCCCCTACGCCCTCCTCGTCTTCCTCCTCGGTCTCATCTTCGCCCTCATCCTCTCCACTCTCGCCTCCGACCTCCCTTCCCTCTCCCTCTGGCACCCTTACACCGTCCTCCCCTCCCCATCAGACTGGTCCACAGGCATCCTCGACGCCGGAATCGGCCAGATCCCCCTCACAACACTCAACTCCATCGTCGCTGTCGTCCACCTCGCCCATGACCTCCTTCCCACACACACCAACTCTTCACACCTCAACGTCACCTCCATCGCCCTCAGCGTCTCCGCTATGAATCTTCTCGGCTGCTGGTTCGGCGCCATGCCCGTGTGCCACGGCTCCGGCGGCCTGGCGGCGCAGTACCGCTTCGGGGCGCGTTCCGGCGCCAGCATCATCTTCCTTGGTGTGTTTAAGCTCGTGATCGGGGTGTTCTTTGGTGAGTCGCTGGTCGGGTTGTTGAAGCGGTTTCCTACGGCCTTGCTGGGCGTTATGGTTATTGCGGCGGGAATGGAGTTGCTTAGTGTTGGGGAGAGTTTGAACACCACGGGTGCGAGGGATATTCGGAAGGCGGTTGCAGGCCAGGGGGGCTTGACGGGCGAGGATATGGGGCCTATGTTGAGTGATTTTGAGAGGAAGAAGAGGTGGATGGTAATGATGGTTACGGTAGGCTTGTTGGTTGGGTTTAAGAATGATGCTGTCGGGTTCTTGGGGGGTTTGTTGTGTCATTTGGCTTTTGAGATTCCGGCGGTGGTAGAACGGGGGGTGACGAGGTGGAGAGAGGGGAGAGTGAGGTTGGAGTAGATTGGGTAGGTGGGTGTTATTATGTAGTAGGGGAGGGGAGGAGGTGGTGAGTGTGTATATATGAGGTTTGGGTTTGGTTATATGATATTCATGATGTGTGATGACGATATGATAAAAATGTCTGTGATTGCATTGCATGTTGCGGTTCTGTGTCTGTCTGCATTGAAAGTGCTATGCTGTTATATAGCTTGGTCTAAGCAAGGATGCTTTATTTCTATACTCTATATCAGTCTATCTCTATCGCTATGTCAAGTCTATCTCTCTATACACTGTATATGCAAACAACTGTACAATCTATCCTCTGGGTCAGGGTACTGACCCAACAACTTCAACAACCCAGCTCATCCATCTCCCATCCACTTACACCCCCCGGCTCTCAAGTCACCCGACACACCGGCACATCCCCAACATCCGTATGCCTTACTCTACTCCGCCTTCTTCGAAGCCTTTGTCCGAAGCTTCATCAATGCGAACACCAACGCATACCCACTAATCGCAAAGATGACAGTGATACCAGCATTCCGCCACCCGTAATAGTAGTGGTTGATGTTGAGTGTAGTCAAGAAGTCGCTTCCACGACGGTACTCACACACCCGGCACGTCGAGGTAGCATCCGGGTTGGTCAAATTGACACGCCAGCCCTGACCCGCGATGTAGTCCTTCAGGTATTCAGCGCAGGTGCCATTGGTAGGGTTGAACAGTGCAAACTCGTCCTCGTTGCAGGTGACCTTGGCATCCCACATATCGAAGGTGAGCATGCCGGACACGACATAGTTGAACGGGTTGAGGTAGTAGAGCCAGTATTTCCAGAACACGTTGAGTTGCGTGTACGGAACGAAGATACCGCAGAAGAGCACCAAAACACTGATGATCATGGGGTTCACGAGAGCTGCGAAGGTTGGATTGGGCGCGTAGGCTGCGATGAACTGGCCAATACCCGTGTAGATGAACTCGTAAATGAGCATGATGAAGAAGGTAGCACCCGCCTTGTTGGAGTCATGAGGCAGGCGTACGCAGTAGTACCAGCAAAGGAAATACAAAACTGCGCATACACAGAGGTATGGGAACTCGGACACAATCAGACCAATGACAAAAGAGATCCAAGAATACATCTTCGACTTTTTCTCTCGTGCATCGTAGATATCGCGTCGCTGGATGAACAATGGTTGGAGCTGATTGATAACACCTGGTGCAACGAAAACAAAGTTGAAAATCGTGAACATCTTCAATTGCAGGGCTGTCACGCTTGGACCGACCCTCCAAAATGAGAAACCATTGAGCAAGGCAGAGATGATATGCAGGGAGAATTTGTTGTTGACGTAGTTGGTGTTCCGGAAAAGAGCCACGTTCATTCTGTGGGTAACGATCTTCGTTTGTTCCCAGAGTGGCATCGAAAACTCGCATCCATCGTCGTTAACACCAGAGGGCTTCGAGGCAGCCTCGGATATCAAATGATCAAGCTCGGTGATCATCTGCTGATGTTCAGGCGACTCAAGCCAAACATGGTGCCAGTCTTTGTCTTTAACGCTCTCGATGCCTCCAGTGACCACGTCGATCATGAACTCGGCTGGGTTAGCCTCGATGGGGCATTGCGCGCCATATTTGCCGAAATAATTCTTGATCGTTTGTCCATTTTCGCCGATATCACCAAAGTACACAGTTTTACCGCCGCGTGCGAGAAGCAGAAGAGTGTCAAACTGCGCAAATAACTGGGCAGAAGGTTGATGGATAGTCACCAAGACAGCTTGTCCAACGTCAGCTAACTTGCGGAGGAACCGCACTGTATTATAAGCAGACTGTCCATCCAACCCAGAGGTAGGCTCATCCAAGAAGATCAAGATGCTTGGTTTGGACACAAGCTCCACGCCAATGGTGACTCGTTTTCTTTGCTCCACACTAAGGCCATTGCCAACTGTGCCAATAAGAGTGTCTGCCAGATCATGAAGCTCAAGCAGGTCAATGATAGTCTCAACATACTTAAGTTTCTCTTCTTTAGGGGTTGTTCGTGGCTGGCGTAATAATGCAGAGAACTCTAGAGCTTCCCGAACCGTAGCAAACGGTTCATGGACATCTAATTGCTCGCAGTACCCAGCCATTCTTTGAAATGACACAGGCAACGGCCGGCCATCAACCATGATAGACCCAGTAATGGTGCCCTCTGTCTTTCGCTGTGCAAGAACATCAAGTAAGGTCGTCTTGCCTGCTCCTGAAGAGCCCATGAGAGCCCCAAGCATGCCTGGTTTAACCCAACCGTGGATATTATCCAACAAGACCCGGTCGCCGGAAGGTGTTTTGACGGTATATTTGAGGTTCTTCCAGGTAAAGACGGCAGTATTGCGGGAAAGGTTGCCATCCACCTCTGCAGTCGTGTCGCTAGTGGCAGCCTTGGCTTGCTCCTTTTCCTTGACCTGAGACTCTTCGTCGATGCTTTTCTGGTGCTGCTTTAGATTTTCACGAGGGATCAACAGTGAAGCACTCCCCCCGGCACCAGCTTTCCAATATGTGGTGCAAATAATGGTGAGCACGGCGAAAAAGCCCCACCACGCCCACACAACTCCGAAGTTCCTCCAAAGCTGGGAATGCTTGTAATGAAGCGATGAAAGATACTGGTCACCGGTCACGTAGTCTGCACCGGGAAGAGCACCGCCTACACCAGTACAGGCTTTGTTGGCTGAGTCGACATCCTCATATCCAGGGCCGTTAGGGACAATGTTCTTTCCAACACAAGGAATATGTTGGCCGTGAAACTCATTCGACAGCGCAGCTTGAAAGGCATAAGCCATGGGGTTGGTATAGTAGAGCTCAAGGAACCAGTTTTTGACCTTTGGCTTAGGGATCATGTAGCCAGCATACATGACGATTCCCTTAAT